CAAGTTGTACATTAAAGCACCAATGCTATATAGCATAGTAGAAGTGCTCTTGTTGATCATGATGTAAAAGTCATTCACTTTCCATAGTTTAACTTTGTGTATGTTTTGTATTCAAATAGAAACAACAAATTCATTTAGTGTAATTGGTTATCATTATTGTCTTTGTTTGAAGAGTTTTGGATTCAACTCTTGATATTGACATTTTTTATATGAAATAAATAATTAATTGTAAAGACAAAAATGTCCTTCCTACTTTCATTCTCGTTGCAGGAAATTTGAAATGGAGAAAATTATACAAAACTCTACCATATATTAATGGAGGATTAATAACACAAGTCTTCTTTAAAGTTTTGGGTGTGCCTACGGTGACATGCATGTCACGGTGACTTGCACTTTCCGGTCGACCTCATATAGGATCTGGTCGACCTAATATAGGATCAGGTCGACCTAATCCGTTGTTTCAGTGTAAAAACAGTTCATGGTGCCTACTTTGGATATTCATATCATACAATTGGCTAGATGAAAATTGAAGACTAATGACTTGTTTTGAAGCTGGAGTGTCCCTCTACATATTGAAGTGATTGAGAGCTCGATAGGAAGTCCAGAAGACCATTTTTGAACCTCATCAAAAGGCTATGCCAAAATTGGGAAAATGCCTGGAAATGGCTAAGTCTGGAAATGTGTTTGTGAAGCCTATTTTGGAGCTCAATTCGAGAAGCATGAATGCGAGTCGAGTCCAGGAGCCTCTACCACGTTAAATTAGGTATGTTTTTATACAAATTCAAGGCATTGGATGAAAGATTGGATATCTATAAGGCTTCAAACATAAGGGTCGAAGTTGCTACGAAGGCTGTTTTTCTGGCAGACTTCGAGCACAAGCAAGCTGCCAGAAAAACAGCCTTAGTAGTAACTTCGAGCCTTTTGTTTAAAGCCTTAAAGATATTCAATATTTCATCCAATGCATTGCCTTTGTATAAAAAAAAATACGTAATTTGACGTGGAAGAGGCCCCTGGACTTGACTCGCATCCATGCTTCTCAAATTGAGCTCCAAAGTAAGCTTGACAAACACGTTGCCAGACTTCGCCATTTTCAGGCAGTTTCCCAGTTTTGGCATAGCCTTTTGGTCAGGTTCAAAAATGGTCTTCTGGACTTTCTATTGAGCTCCCAAGTACTTTAATGTGTAGAGGGACACTTCAACTTCAAAACAAGCCTTTAATCTCCAATTTCCATCTAGCCAATTGTAAGATATGAATCTCCAAAGTAGACACCATGAAACTGTTTTTACACTGAAACAATAGATTAGGTCGACCAAATCCTATATGAGGTCGACCGAAAAGTGCATGTCAACGTGACATGCATGTCACCGTAGCAAAGTCCTAAATTTTTTACTGTTCAATACGACAAATATGGGTTATTCCATTCATTTACCATCATTAACTCTAATTCACTTGTTTTAATATAATGCGGGCATGTGTACATTAACCCTTCTAGATCGCTTGGCAGCTAGCAGTTTTCAATTTCTTTATGTGTGGTTCTTTTAAGGCATCATCGGCCCTTTCAATTGGATCATTCGCATTAAGTTTTTGCAATGGTCGGTTCCGTCCGGATCAGACCAAATTCAGGAGAATCATGATCCAATAATGAAAGACATTTTAGGAGCAAGAATTGAACCAACAGTCAATTCAATCCGGTTTTATCTGATTCAATTGTCAACTCGACCCATTTTTCTTCAGTATTTATAAATTTTTGGGTAAAATACATCGGGTACCACTTAAGTTTGAGAATTGGGGTAGACATACCACTCAAGATTGAATAGGGCGTCGTCTACCATTAAAGTTGCCAAAATGTGCATCCGTCTACTTTCCATCCAACCCAAACTTTTAATTACTTTTTGATACCCAAAACTTTTAAAAACATCCAAAACTATATTTCAACAAGTTTTATCTAATATAATAATTAGAAAACCTTCTAAACATATTATTACTAAGAATGACTAATCAAAAATTTCAATAAAATAGATAAATTAGTAAAAAGAGTAAATGAATATCAAGAAGAATAATAAATATGATAGAATATAATAATAAATATTTAAAATAAATATTATAATATTTATTTAAAAATCTAATTCAATTAGAAACACCATTAGAAATAGTTAAAATAGCTTCACCAAAACAAAATAGTTAAAATAGATACTAATCGATCATCAATACATCAAAATAAAAAAATGATAAATGGAACACAATCAGAAAGAATTAAAAATATTTCACTAATTGGAAATTTTAGAACGAAAAGAGATGAAAAGTAACCAAGTAATAAACAAAATATAAAAGCTACAACATTCGGTAAAAAATATAGAAAATAAAATATGACTATAAAAGCTACAACTTTCATGGATAATTCAATTATTATAACGCATAATGATAATTGAAACTAATTATTATGATAATTGGTTCTAAAATTTCTATTCAATAATTGGTTTGGTATCAAGTATTCAAAAGAGGATTCTAATTAAACAATAAAAAATGATATTTTTCAGAAGTCCAAATCATGTTTTTGTAATAAGAAAAGTAGAAGGACCAATTATGACATTTAGGAAATGGAATATTCTAAGAATATTCTGTCGACTTTAACGGAATGCACTTAATAGTAAACTTAAGTGGTACCGGGTGCACATATAATAGAGTATAGTGGTACCCGACGCCCTATTTAAACTTAAGTGGTATGTCCACCCAAAAAACTAGTGATATATAAATGTAACAACCATAAAACTATTGATCTTGTACAAGTTGGTTTGGAAAAATGATAATCGTATTAGCAAATTAAAGGAAATAATTGGAGAATTCGACTCATTTTTGGGGAAATCCAAAACTACCACTGATTTAAAAAAAATACAAAAATACTACCCACTCCCAAGAATTTCCAAAAATACCATCGTTCATTAAAAACAGCGCCTCTAAGGGGCGGTTAATATAGAAACCGCACAACCGGCCGCGGTTTACATTAGAACCGTTTGGTCAACACGCGGTTTGCCTTTTCAGGTAAAACCGCTCTTCAAAAGAGCGGTTTTATGGCTGCCCTACGATAAAACCGCTCCCCCCTGCGGTTTATAGTGTAAAATTCCCCTATAAAAGGCTGGTCCAGAAAACTCAAAATCTTCACTCCACTCCTCCTTCTTCAAATTTCAGTTGTGCACCTTTAAGGTCCGTACGAGACCAATGCTTGAAGAGCTCCATCAAATGTGCACTCAGATTATCTGCATGGATGGCACTAGAAGAGTTGATCGTATGTTGTATCGATATCCAAACAGACATGGCGGGTCGCTGTGGAATGAGGAATTCCTCCTTACCACTCAGGAGGACGTTGATGCCATGGTCCAATTTTTGACCACCAATAAAATTAAACAAGCGGAGATGTTCATTTACACCGAGGCCGTCGAAGGCGGTGTAGGTCATTCTGGAGATGGCCAAACATCTGGTATCCACGCTGGGAGTGTATTATACGAAGATCATCCCCGCCAGGAGTACCAAGACTCGAGCAGGCGGATGAGAACCAACAAGCAGGCTACCAGTACCCACCCGAGTACAACTTCTACCAAAGCGGCGTTAGTTACCACAACTACCATTACGGAGCTGGTGAAGGTGAAGGTGCCTTTCATGATGATCATCAGATGGAAGAAGAGGTCAATCCAAGTCCAGTTAGTGACCCTGAGGTTGAAGAAGAGGAAGGAGATGTTAGTGCAGACAACTTCGATACTCTTGAAGATGCTGATGATTCCTGTCTAGATTCAGACGCAGACGGTGATGAGGTACCTCGCGACCGTGTACCTATCCCGTACAAAAATCACATTCCAAATGAAGATTGGTATGTTGATGCCGACATGGACCCGCAAGTGGTGCCAGTATGGGGTCCGCTCACTGGCTTTACGAAGGGCCAACAATTTGCAACAAAGAATGAGGTCCGGCACGCTATTGCCACTGAAGCAATAACTCGGAGTTTTGAATGGCACACAACCCATTCCGACACAAAGAGGTTGATGGTTAGATGCAAAAATCAAAATGAGGGATGCAAAGCTAGGGTCCGGGCCATCAAGAGCAAGAGAGTCGGCCATTGGGTCATATCCCGTGCGGTGAACTCACACACATGTGTGTCATCAATAACATCCCAAGACCATCGACAGTTGAAATCAAGGGTGGTTGTCACGGCTATCAAACATCTAATTGAGGAGCAGCCCGACCTGAAGGTCAAAACCATCATCGCCGACATTTCTAGTCGTTATGGTTATATCATTAACTACAAGAAGGCGTGGCATGGAAAACAGAAAGCACTGGTCGTCGTGTTTGGTGAATGGGAAGAATCATATGCATTCCTTCCCATATTGATTTTAGCGTTGGAGGTGTCTAACCTTGGCACCATTTTCTATCCTCACTACCAAGATGAAGAAATTCAGTCGCCGGTGCCTGGTAACAAGCGCCATTTCAAGCGTTTTTTCTGGTCATTCAAGCCATGTATTGATGGTTTTCCATTCTGTGTTCTTGTGATTCAAGTTGATGGAACATTCCTTACCGGCAAGTACAAGGGTACTCTACTGATCGCAACGGAGCAGATGCAAATAGAGGAGTATATCTATTAGCCTTTGCCATTGTGGAGGGAGAGAATACCGATACCTATGGATGGTTCTTCAGACAAATTCAACTCCATGTCACCAGGCAGACGAACCTAACCATCATCTCGGATCGCCACGCCGGTATACGGGCTGCTATCTTAGGCTTGGATCCAGCCTGAAACTAGTCACAGAGATGGTGCATACGGCATTTCAAGAGCAACTGGAACCATCATTTCAAGCGAAAGAAGCTTGTTGATAGTCTATGGTGGATCGCTAAGCTTTCTATTTAATTGTTCTATATCTTTTGTTAAATGAAAAAATAAGGACTAAATCAATATAATACAACACTTATTTAGACTCTTTATAAAGTAATGCATGCCTAAGGAAATGAGGTTTTAAGCGATCATCATGATCCTCCCATTTCCTGGGAAAATTGGGTTCTAAACGATCCTCGGATCCCCCCTTTTTCCTGTTAATCAGGATATGTTTCTAAGGAGATGTATACCTCTCATAAGAGTCTTACTAGTGTACTTGTATTGCTCATAACGAAAGCCTTGCTTACCTTACGCTTTTGTTCGTATATTCATGAGCTGTCGCTTACCAAGAGAAGAAATTTAAATAGAAGATGCAGAATATCTGTCAGCTATGCCCTGAAGGTGCGCAGTGGTTTGATCAACATGACCTTGCAATGTGGCCGTTTCATAAGGACGGAGGTACCAGATGGGGTATTGCCACAACGAACTCAAGCGAGAGTATCAACAACGTCTACAGTGAATGTCGTGCACTCCCCATCTCTGCAATTGTTGAGATGACATTCTGGAAAACAAACGCATGGTTCGTCAACCGTCTCCACTGGTGTGAGAAGAGAGAGGCACAGGGTAAGTTACACTCCGATAAGGCCACAGAAATAATGAAAAAAGATAATCGGAAGAGCTCTCGGCACAAGGTCACTGTTATGAATCGAAATGCTGGCGAGTATTCGGTCGAGACTGGGCACTAGGAGCATGGGAGACCTGGGGGTCATCGCCATGAAGTCACCGTCAACTTTAGGACTAAAAAAGGGGAGTGCTCTTGTCAGAAGTATCAGGGTAGCGGTATACCTTGTTCCCATGCAATGGCTATAATAAAGCACATGAGCAAAGACCCTCGTCATTTCGTCAGTCCGTCCTTCAACATCGACGCACAAAAGAGCAGTTATCGTAAGAGTTTCCGTGCATTGCCGGATGAAGCTTACTGGCCAGTTTATGAGGGTAAGGTCATCATCCCACCAATCGGTCTTAGGCGGGAAACAGGTCCCCCGTGGGTAAAAAGGATTCCAAATGAGATGGATTAAAGTGGAAGACCACCGCGAGGGCCAAGGCGGTGTTCCATATGCAAAGTACCAAGGATGCAACGGGAACTTGTGGACGTGATGCGCGACGATGCGTTCTGGATACGGATCGAACTTAAGCTACGAAGGTGCAGAAAAATGGACCATTAAGAAACATAATAATATAAGTTGAAAATAAAGCAGGAAGTAATAGTGTATTATGATGGGTTACCTCTACTTCTCAAAGGCGATCCAGCCTCCTATGATACTCCTCCAACTTATACGCTCATAGGTTGTCGCATGTTTTTTCACCAAACCACCTATTAATTCCAAAAAGTACATCATGTTAATGCATACTAAAAATTTCTTTATAAAATACAGAATTAGTAAAAAAAGGTGAGAACTATGAGTGGGATAGAAAATAATTACCTACAACCATAAGCTTCATGTCGTAGGGGATGATCGGGTCCACATTCCTTGTCGGGGTCTACCTTCGGCGCAATCCATGGTAAATGCTCCCAAGTCCAAAATTGGACGATGAACATGGTCCCATCAATCTCCTTCACCGCTCTGGCACTAGCATTACAGAAGGAGCGATAGAGATAAGCTAGGCAAGCAGATGCCTAGCTCAGGTTTCCCATATCATCCTAATCTCCAAGTATGATCTTCAACCATGAATTGCTGATTAAATTGTTGGATTTCTTGGGGAAGAAAACTCCTCCGATCATGCCGAGGATGTAGATACGTGCATAAATGTCTTTATCACGCTCCGAACTTTCCTCTGTGAGGGGAATGCCTCCTACCTCAGGGTTGTGCTTACGCCTGATGATAACGATGTATTTGCACATGTTTGCACCCTTAGTTCTTATCCGTTTGCGGCTAGTAGTCGTGTATTTTTGGCCCATTTTACGCTGGGTTGTGCTACTTTGTCATATTTCAGATCCCATGCGTCAAAGGAAATTCTAAGCATGAGATTCGGGGCGTTTGGAGGTCATTCGGTCGAGCTGGGGGCAAAACACGGGCAGGAGGCCTGAAGAACACGACCGTGTACACAAACGAGCACGCCAGTGTTCTTATGTGCGAAAGTTAAACTGATGGAAAAGCAAAACATGGGCTGGCCTAAAGAAGAACGCGGTCATGTTCCACGCCGTGTTATTTATGCCGAGGCTTGATTGAAGGGAGATGCTGTGATGTCCAAAACACGGGCGGAAGTTAAGCAAAGCACGGTCGTGTCCATCTTTAGGCACGACCGTGTTTTGGCCGACGTGGGCGTGTTTTTAACACATGGCGAGGGCACAGATGGGAAAAAGCAAAACACGGCCGTGTCCTCGACCGTGTTTTGCCTAGAATCGGGGTTTTGAGGCAGATTCAAGCCTAAGGAAAGGGAGAGCTGGGTTTTGGTTCCCAGACACCCAAGGGACGAACCCTAGAGAGAGAGCAACTTGGGAACATTCTTGGAGCTATTTTAAAGGATTTTTTCGCCATTAGAGCTCGAGAATCAAGCTTGGAGATGGAGATTGAAGATCTAGATCAGATTGAGGCATGATTTATTAAGTCAATTGAATCTTGATTTCTGCTTTAACTTATGATAGATAGAATCTGATTAGGTTAAGAGAGCTTCCTTGATTGATAGTGGTGAATTGGTTGTGCGAGAGTCAATCAATTCACTGCTTTGTACTGGAATTCATTCTAGTAATGGAGATCTGTGTGAATCACCTTAGCAGTCTATCCCGGTGAAGGCTAGTCGCCTGCCGGGTATTCTGTCTAAGAGGGCTTGGTCAGCTTAAGAGATTCCAAGCTAATTTAGGATCTTCCGCAGTTTAATCAACAGTAGATTAACCAAAGGTAATTGCAACTTGGACCTAATTGAGGAGCTAGGGGGAATCATACCTAAGTGAGTTTCCAACTTGTAATTAGTAGAGTAGTTAGTAGAGTAGTTTAGTAAATCAATACTAAATCTAGTTTGCTAGATAATGAACTGAAGCTGAGTAATAGTAACTCTAGAGACCCGTGGATTCGATATTTATTACTTGTGCCACTATACTGCAGTCCCTTTCATTGGTTACACTTGGCCATTGTTAGGTGTTGTGCCGTAGCGTGTCAAGTTTTTGGCGCCGTTACTGGGAACTTTCTAGATTATTAGGAAATGTAGAAGTTTGTTACTTTAGCGTTTTTTTTTACCCTTGCTTTTCACTTGGTTGTTTTCGTTTTTGTAGGTGTAGATTTGAATCATGGATCCTAATGGCTTCTCCAACCAGTGGGGGTATCCACCACCATCTGAGTGGTATTACCCCGAGACTTCCTAGAGCAATCAAGGAGGAGAAGACTATGGATTCGGGTTCCAGTACCAACCCCCTTACTACGGAGAACAATTAGACCCCTGGTAATATCAAGAACAACCTCCTTATCAAGAAGAATTCCTCCCACAACCAGAAGGGCCATCAGATCTTGATTTTGCCACAGCCCTCATGGGCCATCCGGCAGAGCCATGCTACACTCCACTGCCAGATCCAAATTATCACTTGAGGCTTCTCGTGGAGCAGATTGCTCGAGTACCTGAGAGATCCTTTCCCGAGATGGATCCTCAAATCCGGGCCATTGCCCAAATTGACTTCTCCTTTCCCCGTGAAACAAAGTATAACCTTCGGAGCATAAAGAAGCACATAGAGGTCATTGAGAATGCTTGTTCACAGTTTTCTCAAGACAACCTTTATGCTGCCATACAAGTAGAGGAGGAGGAAGAAGAAGGCAATCATGAGGATGTTGAGGAGCATACAAAAGTTTTCACGGAAAGCTCCCATGATAATCATGATCAAGTGTATCCTCTAATGGTAGATCACAACTTTCCCCATTACCGCTCTGGCATGCTGGGCCCGAGCGAGGAGATGCAAGCTGAACTTATTGAGAACCTTGCATGGCGACTTGCTATCCAATCCGTTATGGAAGAAGAAGAGAGAGAACGAGTGAGGAAAGAAGTTATGGAGGATGAGGAAGAAAGCAAAGAAGAGATAGTTCTTGATCTTTTCCAAGGAGAGAGACCACATTTTGAAGAAGGAAGGGGGGTTGAAGAAGAGAGTGGTGCCCAGGCTGAGGATGAAGTTGAGGTGGAAGAGGCTTGCACCGGCCCTATAATACAAGTAATATCCCCACCAAACTTCGAGGAACTGCTTAGCAAGGACCCATTTGCAATGTCTCTTTGCCAGACCAAGGCCACATCGAAATTAGTCCCTCTTGGTGGACGCGATGGTGGTCAGTCGATACGGTTATATTTGGTTTGGGGCAATGAGACAAGAGAAGAAACGAAGAAGAGGTCTCGAGGGTGGAGACTTCAGTTGCATCAAGTGAATGAGCCTTCATCACCTGCCACTCCACCTGCTCGTGACTTGAGACTCCACCTCATAGATGAGAACCTCAACTTCAAAGAGGTTCTAGCATGGAACGAAACTTAGGAGCTACCGTCCGGCTCACGACGTAAAAGAAGCACTTGTTGGGAGGCAACCCAACTAGTCGGATTGCATTTCTTTCTTTATTTATCCTCGGTTGAATCAGTTTTGTTCTTTGATTTTAGAGTCAATAACTCAACCTTTGTGAGATTTGTGGGGTGTTTGTGTTCCGACTATGCTCTCCTCCTACAATGTACTGCATGCCCCGCCCACCATCATTCACCCTTGATCTGGTAACTTCGTTCTACCCTCCTTGTCTTTCCTCCATTGAGGACAATGTTGTTCTTAAGTGTGGGAGGATGTTCAATTATGTATGCGTGTGAATGTTTGGCTGTATGTGTGTGCTTGGAGCCTAGTCCACTGTCCAAATTTTGATTTGAGGGCTCCAAGCACGTGTTCCTTGCAATTTCCTGCTCAGTATGCTTTGAATTGACAGTCTTTATAGTAATATGCAACCTAGGGAGGTAGTGCAGCACTATGGAGGATGTTGATGCATTTAAGAAGTCTCATTTCTTCTTCATATTGTGTTGGTTGACTGTGTTAATTAGTGATCTTAGGACCCTTGAATTGTGTGGTATTGTGGACTCTTTACCTGTCATGGACTCCTGTATCATGTTTTGAAATAATAGGTGCTAAAAAATTTGCTTTAAAATAACGTCTCACGTGCGGAAAGGGCGAAAGTGTGTAAGGGGAGACGGGAATCCGTTCCCAATTTCCACCTACTACCTCCAGCCCCCCTTACATTTCTTTCTCCCGCACGAGGCTCGAGACATCAGATCCCGGCATTGCCTGTAAGAGCATGGCTCCCTCAAAACCTTTGCTAGGTGGGAGCCCCGTTTTCTGAAATAACAGGTTGGGACCCTTGAAAAAAAAAGAAAATAAAAAAAAACAACAAAACAAAGAAAAAAATGAAAAAAGGTTCCAACCATCTTCAAGAAGAAAACATAGCACCTCAAAAATGTGAGTCCATGATCTTTCTGATTTAGAGAGTCCCTTCGTCCACGATTCATTTGTTCTCTAATCACTATTTGCCATAATGCCGACTCGAGACTAGCGTTCTCGCCGAAGAAGCTAGGAGATGACTTGTGCGTCGGTTGACCTCGTAAGCTGCTAAATGATCTAGGAAATCCTCTACCGACGATCGAGGGTGCTTTTTGCTATAGAGGTCTGGAGAGTTGCATTGGTTTGAGTAAGGTTTGCTTGGGGACAAGCAAACGGTTAAGTGTAGGGGAATTTGATAACGATGTATTTGCACATGTTTGCACCCTTAGTTCTTATCCATTTGCGGCTAGTAGTCGTGTATTTTTGGCCCATTTTACGTTGGGTTGTGCTATTTTGTCATATTTCAGATCCCAAGCGTCGAAGGAAATGCTAAGCATGAGATTCGGGGCGTTTGGAGGTCATAAGGTCGAGCTGGGGGCAAAACACGGGCAGGTGGCCGGAAGAACACGACCGTGTACACAAACGAGCACGGCAGTGTTCTTATGTGCGTGAGCTGAACTGATGGAAAAGCAAAACACGGACTGGCCTAAAGAAGAACACGACCATGTTCCAGGTCGTGTTATTTATGTCAAGGCTTGATTGAAGGGAGATGTTGTGATGTCCAAAACACGGGCGGAAGTGAAGCAAAGCACGGCCGTGTCCATCTTTACGCACGACCGTGTTTTGGCCGACGCGGGCGTGTTTTTAACACGTGGCGAGGGCACGGACGGGCAAAAGCAAAACACGGCCGTGTGTTGCCCAGAATCAGGTTTATGAGGCATATTCAAGTCAAAGGAAAGGGAGAGCTGGGTTTTGGTTCCCAAACACCCAAGGGATGAACCCTAGAGAGTGAGCAACTTGGGAACACTCTTGGAGCTATTTTGGAGGATTTCTTCGCCATTGGAGCTCGAGAATCAAGCTTGGAGATGGAGATTGAAGATCTAGATCAGATTTCTGCAGTCTCTCTCTTCTCTATGGAGTAACTTACCTTCACTTAGGTTTTGAGGAACCCTAGTTCCATGTGTTAGGATCTTTCTTGTATGAAGCTTTGGATGCTATATTGTTTGATTATAATCGATTGAGGCATGATTTATTGAGTCAATTGAATCTTGATCAAATTCTTTTGATTTCTGCTTTAACCTATGATAGATAGAATCTAATTAGGTTAAGAGAGCTTCCTTGATTGATAGTGGTGAATTGGTTGTGCGAGAGTCAATCAATTCACTGATTTGTACTGGAATTCATTCTAGTAGTGGAGATTTGTGTGAATCGCCTTAGCAGTCTATCCCGGTGAAGGCTAGTCGCCTGCCGGGTATTTTGTCTAAGAGGGCTTGGTCAGCTTAAGAGATTCCAAGCTAATTTATGATCTTCCGCAGTTTAATCAACAATAGATTAACCAAAGGTAAATGCAACTTGGACCTAATTGAGGAGTTTAGGGGGAATCATACCTAAGTGAGTTCCCAACTTGTAATTAGTAGAGTAGTTAGCAGAGTAGTTTAGTAAATCAATCCTTAATCTAGTTTGCTAGATAATGAACTGAAGCTGAGTAATAGTAACTCTAGAGACCCGTGGATTCGATATTTATTACTTGTGACACTATACTGTAATCCCTTTCATTGGTTACACTTGGCCATTGTTAGGTGTTGTGTCGTAGCGTGTCACCTGATCTCCGCTGTCAACCAAGTGATGGATACTTGGCCCTTGGACAATGGTGGATTACCATCCGCATCGTGATCTCCCTTTTCTGGCGGACACAACCCGGTGACGGTCCATATAAAATGCTGCCAACCACTCATATTGGCAACAACTTTAGGTGGTGGCGTAGAGTCCACACAAATAACATCGCCATCGATGAGCAAATCGGTTAGGATGGCGATGTCCTTAAGTGTGATGGTGCACTCACCTTCACGAAAATTGAAGCAATGTGTCTTCTTTCGCCATCTCTCTAACCAATGTTGTGATGAGTTGGCGGTCGATATTTATTCCATTAAAGTGCCTAATCAAATCCAATCTCACCCTTTTTAGAAAGGGCAAGTTGACGTCGTTCCATTCAAGCACATTCGTTGTACCCCTATAGCGGACTATATGGTATGCATCCTAGAGAAGAATTTAACTTTCACTATAAGTTGATGATTTATACATATATAAATCTATTATAACAAACAATATTAATTAAAACAAGGTTGTTTTAGAGAAATATTCATTATCTAATAAACATTAATTTAACATAACTAAAATCATTTTCGAAATTTAAGTACAATTATTTTTTGTACACATACACATAAAATCAAATATATTATTTTGTACTTCGTATTGATTGTTTTCAATAATTTAAAGCAATACAAGTACACTCATAAGACTCTTAGGAGAGGTATACATCTTCTTAGAAACATGGTCTTTTTGACAGAAAAAGGGGGATCCGAGGATCGCTTAGAACCAAAATTTCCCAGGTCATGGGAGGATCATGATGATCGCTTAAGACCTCATTTCCTTAGACATGCATTTCTTTATAAAAAGTCTAAATAAGTGTTGTATTGTATTGATTTAAATTATTGAAAATAATCAATATGATTAACAATTAAGTAATTTATTGTATAAACAAATAAATTACGTCACTTGAACGATAAATAATATGTACCTTGTGGTCGTTCCAAATGTCTCTTGAACGATGATTGTCTTGATCGTATAAAATAGTTGGATCAATCGGTCCTTGATCAACATAATATCATTGATTGTATATATCAACATCCGACCCAACCTACAATAGCATAACAACAACATAAATCAACTAGTATATATATTAAATAAATCATTAAAACAACAAAAAAAAATTTGAGTAAAATGAGTACGTACCGCTTGATAATCTTCATAGTAAATACCCTCTTCTTGGATAAAATCGGTCATTTTTTTAGAATCCGGACAGAGATTCGACGGTTTTTTAGTGAAAACCAAAGAAAAAGTTTTTTGAAGGCAGATCGGACTTAGCCGCAACCAACAAAACGACTACTTCTAAGGTCTTTGGGTGGGGAGGGGATGGGTAGAGTGAGGAACTTAGAGAGAGAAAGAGGAGAATGGGGGCTTGGTGTGCAGAAAATGGGAGGAAGGGGTGGGTTTATATAGGGACGAAACCGCGTGCTGGAGGGGCGGTTTGGTCTTTTTACCCCAAGCAAAACCGCGCTTCAGGGCAGCGCTTTTCGTGAGCGACGCGGATCACTGCGCTGGCAGGCGGTTAGGCCGTCAGATAGCCTGCCCATCGCGCGGTTGCATGGGCCGCCACGTGGAGGCGCGTTTTGACAGCTACGAAGGGTCAAACCGCCCCTTGCCCGCGCGGTTTGACTAAGAACCGCCCCTTGCCTGCGCGGTTATAGGAAAGAGTGGTATTTTTGGAAATTCTTGAGAATGGGTGGTATTTTTGTAATTTTTTTTTTAATAGTGATAGTTTTGGATTTTTCCCCATTTTTTGCCCACCATTTCCTTATCATACGTCCTACTTCGCTAGTTCTCTCTTCCATTTCAAGACACTAGATTGGAGATTGCACATATAATGCTCTATCTCCCAAACTTGATTATCATCTTTCACTATCTACCGTACCATTTACTCACAAATCTCCCGTTGCATGGTGGGAGGAGCCAATTGGGCCTGGAGGAGCTATATTATAGATCGATGTAGCTGGGAATTGAGAGGAGACTTCCCATGGATTCTGACTGCTGGCTTTGCTTGGATGATTGATTGCAATTCTGCAAGATCACGCAATGAAACCAAACCAAATGGCCAAGCTGCCTATAAGTGGACATTCCCCATTGGTGGGGTAACCTTCTCTCAGGTGATGAGAAAGGTGAAATTTTGAAAAGAGATGATGATGATGATGAGAAGAAGAGAAGCAAAGGCAAAGGCAAAACCATATATGTAGGGCAGATCCATCATCACCCGATTCACATATGAGGAGACAAGAAGACACCAACTAAGTTTCTGTAGCCATCTGCATTTACTGTCTGTACCACTCTACTGTTCCTAAGAGTGAGGGGGAACTAGCTGCAGCTGTCCATTTCATCTTTGTCTGTTGTAAATCAATTGGTTTCAATAGTTCGAGTTGTTGATGAATGCTCATGTATGGATATTAACTATTTTCTTATGCGCCTCAAAGGTTACTCATGTTTGATGGGTTTGAAGTTTTCACTAGTTAACCATACCATGTAGTTCAAATCAACTATTAATATTGGGGGTAGTGAGAACAAACCGTTGCTCTAAATTTGTTTGCGACCTAACTATTTGAGCAACCATTTGCTGGTCTATCTAAGTCTATATAATTATACAAACGGAGAAACAATATTGACCATCTAACTACTCGCTTTAAACCAACTGACATCAATGTTGGTGTTTTCACATTTATGATTGTTTTAGAATAAAGAAAAACACAAAAATCATATTAAAGTTGGGTATTAATTTTACTTTAAAGTTTCATTGGTCAACCATATCATGAAGTTCAGATCAACTATTAATATTGGGTCGTGAGAACGAGCTGTTGCTCGTCCAGGCACTTGCAACTAGGGATGGCAAAAATATCTGTAACCGTGGATATCCGCCCGAATCCGACCTAGTCGGGTAGGGTAAAACCCAAACTCGAAAGACTTTTAGTGGGTATGAGTAAAACTCGAACCCGAATATCGCGGGTAATGAGTGGGCATGGTTTTTTCACTATCCAACTCGAACCCGCCCGATTATACACATGCATATGTAGTTTGTCTAGAGATAATCATTATTTTTCTCTAACATATTTTGTATTAAGCATATAAATATAGTATTTTCATGAAATTGTGTTGTTTTAATTAATTTTCTTCATTCTAATTAATTATTGTCGTACTTTTCCTCTTATGTAATGTGAAAATATGTGTGGATGTTAACATATTAGTTGAAGTTATAAAGAGAAATTATTACCCATGGATAACTATGGATATCCGAAACCCGAACGTATATGAACATAGTTTTGATTTTCTATCCGGTACTTATGTGGTATGAGTATGGGTAATACCAATAGAGTAACGGATATGCACCATCCGCCAACCAGTTCTGTTCTATTTAGTAAGCCGCCAACTTAAATTGGATCAAGCAAGTAAAGTAAGCAACACAGTTACACAGACAAGTCCATTTCGAGAGAACACTGGGGGAGTAAAGGTCAAGGGCTTAAGGCCCACTAGCGCTGACTACTAATCAATCACGATTCACGGACCTCTGCAGACTGCAAAGCCAGCGTCCGGCTCGGCTTTTATTTTTCTACTTTTATTGAAATGGCTCGGCTCGGCTCGGCTGTCGGCTCCATTTTAATTTATTATTCTCTGTTGGCCAATCTTCGCCTTTATTTATGACATCAAAATGAGAAGAAAAAAAGGAGTTGTTTCAGTCCCCATTATTTTTCTCCCTTCATGCCACATCACATTCCCATGTCATGGCTTATGAATTTCATCAAAGATTAATAAAAACAATTTTATATAACAAGTTGTACAAACCGTTAAGGCGGTAACCATATCAAATAAGTTAACAAAATGATTCGAGTGTTTGTTTTAATATAATTCTAAATTGGAGAAATGCGGATGAAAAAATATGTTTGATAAGAATTTGTATGAATAGAAAGATATTTGATTGAATAGTATACAATATGCTTAATATTAAAATACTGAACAATATGCTTGGTAAATTTGTAAATAAATTTTCTTATGATTGTGGTGGATTTTTATCAGAGTTTGAGGAAAATGTGGGAAATTATATTTGTTTTATTACAAACATAAAATTTGGACAGAGTTTGAGGATGAGAAAAGTGAAAAACAAGCGAATGAGAGCTAGCCTCATTGGTGGGGAAGTCAGTCCAACACATAAGAGAGAGAGAGATCATTCGTCGATCCACCACCTTATAAATTGGTGCTTCAATCTTTAGTATTCTGTGAGCGGCACGGCAGAGACCGACTCGACCTAGGGGAGGGGTAGTTGGGTCATTATTAGTAATTGGGAGAGAGCTCTATTTAAACACTAGTTGTGTACTATTTTGCATACGAATAATCATATCAGAATTATCAAATCCCTAATCTCCCTTCAATCCCCAATTCCCAACCCTAATTTCCCAATTCTCAACCCTAATTCTTTCATTCTCATCCCTAATTCATGTTCGTAATAACCGTGTTCCTCACAATTGGTATCAGATCTGTGTTCGACATGAGTTCAGCAAGGAACTCCGACGGGGACCGAGGCGCAACGACCACCGATCGCTTGTAATGCGTGCTGGCGCGGCTGGCAAGTGTGGAGGCGGAGCTTCAGGCAGCGGTTGGTGAGGCGCATACGCTAGCCGAGGGCCGCGTACCATTGATTGCGACCGCGACAGAGAGGGAAGAAGCAAAGGCGGCGGACGCTGACCGGGAGCCTCGGGGCTCGGGTCGTGACCGCGGAGGAGAAGGGAGAGAAGACAGCGACCGCGGTAGGAAAGCAGGAGGGCGCCTGCGGGAAAACTGACTCTGCCGTCGCTACAGGCGAGAGCCGCGGGGCTCGGGTCGCGATCTCAAAGGAGAAGGAGGAGGAGGCGACCGCGTGGAGGGAGAAGGAAGGCGCGAGCAGGGAGACGATCTCTGTCGTCACGGCAGTCGAGACAGCGGGGTCGGCGACGATGCAGTTCAAGGCGCAGGTCATGGGGGAATGGGGAGTGACCCTCGTTGACAGCGGGGCTTCTCTCAATTTTTTCGGTTCAGAGTTTGTGAAGCGGCTAAATCTGCCACGGTCAGCCATTGAGTCCTTTGATGTGAAGGTGGCTATTGGTGCCCCACTACGGTGTGCAGAAAAGCTAGTAGGGGTTCCGTGATGATTCAAGGGCTGCAAATCCCTCTCGATCTATATATACTGCCATTGCACGGGTTTGACCTGATCTTGGGAATGTCGTGGTTCAAGATTTTGGGACCGGTAACGAGTGACTGGGTGGAGATAGTGATGAAGTTCAAGTGGAAGGATAAGGATTGGGAGCTGCGAGGGATGACGACAGCAACGGGACCCATCGAGTGGGGCGATCCGCAGCTCGAGGAAGACTTGGAGCTGGCTGTTCTTTGCTGGCTGATGGCGCGCGACGTGGGACAGGCTCGAGCACCAGACCTGCAGTTGTTGTTGGATCGATATGCCAGTCTATTTGCTCAGCCTACCCAGCTGCCCCCAAAACGACAGGTTGACCACCGGATTAGGCTTAAAGAAGGAACCGAGGCGGTTAACGTTCGGCCATACAGGTATGCACATGCTCAGAAGGAAGAGATCGAACGCCAGGTGGCCGAAATGATGACAGCGGGGCTGATTCAAGCAAGCTCTAGTCCGTTTTCGTCCCCGGTGTTGTTGGTTAAGAAGAGGATGGCACTTGGAGGTTCTGTACCGAATATCGGGCTCTCAATGCAGTAACGATTCGAGATCGGTTCCCAATTCCGACTGTTGATGATATGCTAGATGAATTACGGGGCACAAAATATTTCACAAAGCTCGACCTACGAGCTGAATATCATCAGATACGCATGCACGAGGAGGATATTCCGAAGACTGCTTTCCGGACACATAGTGGCCATTATGAGTATCTCGTGATGCCTTTCGCTCTCTGCAATGCGTCATCGACATTCCAGGCAGCCATTAACGACATATTTCGACCTCTCTTACGCAGGTTAGTGCTGGTATTTTTTGATGATATCCTGGTTTTCAGTAAATCAAGGGAATAGCACCTACGAGCAATTGCAGGAGGTGTTCGAGATATTGCAGGAGAATCAGTTTTATGTGAAGGAATCTAAATGCGCGTTCGGAGTACAGGAGGTGGATTATCTGGGGCATGTGATCTCGGGAGAGGGAATTCGAGTGGATCCGCTGAAAATCCAGTCCATGATGGACTGGCCAGTGCCGAGGAGTGCGACAACATTGAGGGGTTTCCTGGGCTTGACCGGGTATTACCGGAGTTTTGTGCAGGGTTATAGCTCGATAGTCGGGCCACTGAATGCGCTATTAAAGAAAGGAGGGTTCAGTTGGACCCCAGAGGCAAAGGGTGCTTTCGAGGTGCTCAAGGTGGCCCTTTCCACGACCCTAGTCTTGGTACTACCGGATTTTTCCCAGCCATTTGACATTGAGACAGACACATCTGGCAGGGGAATTGGCATGGTGCTGTCACAGGAAAAACATCCCATTACTTTCATGAGCCGGAACCTCCCTCCCTCCAGGGAGGCTTGGTCAACATACCAAAAGGAGATGCATGCCATAACAGAAGTCGTACAGATGTGGCGTCCCTATTTGATCGGCCAGAAGATTCACATTTATACCGATCATCAGAGTTTGAAGCATCCAATGGATCAACGGGTGTCCACTCCATATCAGCACAAATGGGTGGTGAAATTGATGGGGTATGACTATGAGCTCCATTACCAGTCGAGACCGATGAACAAGGTCGCAGATGCCTTATCAAGGGTGGAGCTCGAGCCGTAGGTGGCAGCTATGACCGGAGCGGTGGTGCAGTTCTGGGACGAGGTCTGGAAGGCAGTAGAGATGAGCCCATACCTGAGGGAGAGGCGCGATATAACTCTGAGCGTAGCCCCAGGAGGTTACACGTTCCGCCATGGGCTGATTTATTTTAAAGGTCGGTGGTCCTCCCGGCGTCCACCTCTCTGACAGCGACAGTGATGAAGGAGTTTCATGATTCCCCGGTGGGTGGGCATTCGGTACATGAGAGGATGCTGAGGAAGATTCGTAGTTAGTTCTACTGGCCGCAGATGGGTCGCGAGGTTAAGGAGCATGTGGCCTCTTGCGATACTTGCCAGAGGGTCAAAGCTTCTTTGTTATGACCGGCAGGGTTACTACAGCCACTACCTGTATCGGAGCGGGTTTGGGAGGACATTAACATGAATTTCATAGTGGGGCTGCCACCATCCGGAGGAAAGATAGTTTTATTAGTGGTGGTTGACAGACTCACGAAGTATGCACACTTCATGACATTAGCACACCCGTACACGGCCAGAAGTGTAGCGGAGCAGTTCGTTTGGGTGGTGATCCGACACCACGAATTTCCCCGATCGATCATGAGTGATCGAGATGCACTTTTCTTGGGCAGGTTCTGGAAGGAGGTGTTCTCGATGGCGAAGACAGAGCTGAAGATGAGCTCCGCATATCACCCGCAGACAGACGGAGGCAGTTAACAAGATACTCGAGCAGTATTTGCGATGTTTTGTGCACCAACAACCGCGTCGTTGGCTGGCTATGTTGCCCTGGGCTGAGCTGTGGTATAATACCACTTATCATCGGTCGATCCAGATTTCGCCGTTTGAGGCTTTGTACGGGCGTACACCACCTATGCTGGCACGATACCAGTCAGGAGCGAGTGCGGTGGATGCAGTAGACAGGTGGTTGGCCGAACGAGACACAACACTGTAGCAGCTGAAGGCGAACTTGGCCGCGTCCAACAATCGGATGAAGCAGCAGGCCGATTTAGGACGACGAGATGAGGAGTTGCGGTGGGGGATTGGGTGATGCTCAGGTTGCACCCGTATAGACAGGCTTCGGTGTTCCATCGTGCATACAAGAAGCTTGCAGCTTGCTATTTTGGTCCATATCAAGTGCTCGAGCGGATTGGAGCAGTGGCCTATCGTCTACAGCTTCCGAACACTGCCGGGATCCATTCCACATTTCATGTGTCTCTCTTGCGCAGGTACCGGGGAGCTGAGCAGCCGGCAACACCGCCGGAGCCGCCCGTCGATGGGGAGGGAAGTCTTGAGCTGGATCCAGAGGCGGTGCTCGATACACGCTGGCTAAAGCGAGGAAGAAGGCATGTGACAGAGAGCCTCATACAGCGGAAGCATCTCAGACCAGAAGAGGGAACCTGGGAGGATATCGAGACCATTCGTCAAAACTACCCTATATTCGATCTTGAGGACAAACTCGGTTCCGAAGGGGAAGGGAGTGTGAGCGGCACGATAGAGGCCCACTCGGCCTATGGAAGGGGTAGTTGGGTCATTATTAGTAATTGGGAGAGAGCTCTATTTAAACACTAGTTGTGTACTATTTTGCATACGAATAATCATATCAGAATTATCAAATCCCTAATCTCTCTTCAATCCCCAATTCCCAACCCTAATATCCCAATTCTCAACCCTAATTCTTTCATTCTCATCCCTAATTCATGTTCATAACAACCGTGTTCCTCACATATTCGGCCAGCTACCCCGCGACATCCCCAATGTGACAACTCTATTGCAGGCAACGATTTTTGTTGTAAAAAAAGAAAAGAAAACAAGCACTCATATATGATTGTTAAAAGTAATGAAATATTCAATAAGCACTATATCGAATTGCTAGTTGAAAGGGTAAAATCAATAATACCAATATTTTGTTACATTTGTTTGTACCCATAGGCCATAACATTGTCCATGTATTCAACTCCATAGCTATGGTCATGGACTCATGGTCATACCCATCATCATGAGCCATGGAGATGCATTGCAATTTGCAGGCACAAGAAAATAAAGCTAGGAGAGAGAGAGAGAGAGAGAGAGAGAGAGAGAGAGGGTGGGGTATGGGTATGAAAATGAAATGATGATGATGGTGGTGGCGAGAGAAGCAAAGCAAAGATCAGGCGTAGCACGCCTACAGGGACAGACAGACAGACACAGTAGTAGAGAGAAAAAGAAACAAACAAAGGACCTTTCTTTCTTCTCCCTCCATTCCCATACCCCTTTTTTTATCAGTGCTTTCTCTCTCTATCTTCAGTCGTTCACTCCCTTTTCACAGGGGAGAGAGGGAAAGGGAAAAAAAAAAAAACAACAGAGAAGCACAAAAGAAAAGGAAAAAGGGGGGAGGACTAGTCAGGGCTCAGGGGCTATGGCTATCATCCGTCAAAGAAACGTCTCCACTGTTTCCCCCTAATGTGCTCTCTGCTCTGCTTCCTCTCTCTCTCTCTACCTCATTAATCCTCCGCTTCCATTTTCACTTTTCTCAGTTTCTGTTCTGGTCTCCATTAAGATGGTCCTTGATTAGCCGAACAACAATCCAATTTGCGTCTCTCTACGATTTGGATTCACCTCTCTCTCTCTCTCTCTCCCTTTTGTTTTCTTGCTTCTGTTGGTTTTTGCTTTTGCCTCTGTTTTTTTCTTGACAGACTCTGTTTTTGTTGGTTTTATTTATGCTTCCGAGTAAATAGACCACCGCACACAAACAAAGAGCAAAGGGTATCTCGAGATTGGCGTCTTTGAGATAGAGACCCGCAAAAAGGAACCACCTTCCCTCCGATTCCTTTTCTCCAAACTCTCGAGAGCAAAAAAACCCACCACCACAACTCTGTCAACCATCTTTCTTTCTTTGTGATGCTGGAGAGAGGAGGCTCTCAGGAGAGAGAGCCTGCTTAAACCCGCAAACGCCCTAACTAGAAGAAGAAGATAGCCCAGAGCTCTCTCTGTATCATTGTAACCCACCATCAATAACAAGCCTTTCCTACCTTTTCCACAAAATTTTATTCCTCTTTCAATCTTTGAACAACAAATCGACAGGCGTTTCTGGGTTTTACTTTTACCTTGTTTGTTGTTGTAGTAGTGTATGGGTTAGTGTATCTATGGCTCTGTCAATCCACCATAGCAATCATAATAAGGAGGTCTTCAATAAGAATCAACAGCAGCAGATGGATTCCAGCAAGTACGTTCGCTACACTCCGGAGCAAGTAGATGCATTGGAGAGGGTTTATGCTGAATGCCCCAAGCCCAGTTCCTTGAGGAGGCAGCAGCTCATTCGGGAGTGCCCTCTTCTCTCCAACATTGAGCCCAAACAGATCAAAGTCTGGTTCCAGAACCGCAGGTAGATAAACAGTGAATAGAATGGATTTTGATTATCAAAAGTATATAGCTTTTGGAATTTATTAGCCGTTTTCGTCGTCTATTTCCCCTGTTTCTCTGCAATTCTTTCCTGCTATTGTGTTCTTAGCTAAAGAATGATGACTTTTCCGGGTCTTCTGGTTTTACAATCTAAATGATTTTCGATTGTGTCATTTTCCCTGTGCCCTTTCATTCAACACCTTTCTAAAATCACAATGAGTGCGTCTCTGATACTCGGATAAATTTTTGTTTCTTTTGCTTATGTATTAAGCTGCCCTTCCCTTGCCTTTCTTTTCCCTCTACCTTGTCTGTTCTTAATTTTCCCTTATGGGTTTGCTGGGTAAGTGCATTGATGGTGATTATTACTGTTAAACAGATGTCGCGACAAGCAAAGGAAAGAAGCATCCCGTCTTCAGACGGTGAACAGAAAGCTTACCGCAATGAACAAGCTGTTGATGGAGGAAAATGACCGCTTGCAGAAGCAGGTCTCTCACTTGGTGTATGAGAATGGTTTCATGCGCACAGAGATCCACACTGTAGGGGACCTTTACTAATGTTTCTTCATTATGGCAGTATTAGTATTATTGTGTCTAAGAGCAGTTTTTTCTTAATACATTCATTCGATTTGGTCGTTGCATTGTTGAACAGGCTTCAGGAACGACCACAGACAAAAGCTGCGAGTCTGTGGTCATAAGCGGTCAGCAGCAACAACAACAGCAGCAGAACAACCCATCAAGTCAGCATTCCCAAAGGGATGCTAGCAACCCAGCTGGGTAGGCATTACTTCCTTTTGCCTTGCTACGGCAGTTTGGCTGATTAATTCTTGTTCGAAACCAGTGTAACGTTTTCCTGCAATGTGTTCTTTCTATGTCTCTATAGCCTTCTCGCAATAGCTGAGGAGGCCCTGGCAGAGTTCTTGTCCAAAGCTACAGGAACTTCTGTCAACTGGGTCCAGATGATTGGGATGAAGGTGAAGCTTCCTTCTTTATCTAACTCTTCAATCTTTGATTTATATCAACCAACAAATGATCAACTACATTATAATGCTGATAATTGTGCAGCCTGGTCCGGATTCTATTGGCATCGTAGCTGTTTCCCGCAACGGTAGTGGCGTAGCAGCACGAGCCTGTGGCCTCGTGAGTCTTGAACCCACGAAGGTACGTGCATTTTCTGTGGTTACCTCACAGGTGGAAGCTTTCTCTCAATTTGTTTTTTGGGAGTTCTGATTGACAGTTAATCATTGAGTTTTTTGTAGGTCGCTGAAATCCTCAAAGATCGTCCATCTTGGTATCGCGACTGTCGATGCCTGGATGTGATGAGCGTGATTCCTACTGCCAATGGGGGCACAATTGAGCTCATTTATATGCAGGTCTTTTTTCTACTCCTCTCCCTTGGCTATAAAGTGTTTATTAATGTGCTAGGTTTAGTATTATAGCTGACCTTGGTTGCTAGGTTCTCATCTCTTTCTTACATGCTAATTCTACCAGACATATGCGCCAACCACATTGGCTGCAGCAAGAGACTTTTGGACTCTGAGATACACCACCGCAATGGAGGATGGCAGTCTTGTGGCAAGTCTAATGCAATTAATTTCATTTTTCCTAGGAAAGTGGATGTGTTGTATCCGCCTATGTGGAGTAGCTTAATATCACACCTATTCCTTTTTTATTATGCAGATTTGTGAGAGGTCCTTGACGACTTCTACAGGTGGTCCAGCTGGGCCACCATCATCAGGATTTGTTAGGGCTGAAATGCTTCCAAGTGGTTATCTAATTCGACCTTGTGATGGTGGAGGGTCCATGATTCACATTGTTGATCATGTTGATTTGGAAGTAAGAACCAAGTTCTAGTTAATTTGCTCTATAGTGAGTGCTGTTTTCTTCTTAATTCAATTTCAGTATCATTCTGAATAATTCATCTTTATTCTACTAGGCTTGGAGTGTCCCTGAAGTTTTGAGGCCTCTATATGAATCTTGCAAAATGATTGCTCAGAAAATGACCCTCGCGGTAAGCCTGATCCGCACCGCTGATGTGTTATTTATTGACATAAAGTTTCTTAGTTTTGTTGATTTATATGTTTTGCTGCAGGCCTTGAGGCACATTCGACAAATTGCACAAGAGACTAGTGGAGAAGTTCAGTATGGTGGAGGCCGCCAGCCTGCTGTATTGAGGACATTCGGTCAGAGGCTCTGCAGGTATATATGAACTACTTTAAAAACAAGTTCATCTATCTTAATCTGTACCTTTGTATTTTTCTTAGTATGGTGCTCAACTAACATATTTTTTGGGCCTTATCAATTCAGGGGGTTCAATGATGCTGTCAATGGATTTGCAGACGATGGATGGTCCCTCCTAAATGGTGATGGTGCGGAGGATGTAACTATTGCCATTAACTCGTCTCCAAACAAATATCTTGGTTCACAGTATAATGGGTCAATGTTCCCATCTTTTGGAGGAGGGGTGCTCTGTGCAAGGGCATCAATGCTGCTTCAGGTAATTTGTTGTTGCTGGTTGTACCACATTTTGACTGTGCAATTTGGATATGAACCTCAAGTGTTGTATCTGTTTATGTGGGTGTAGAATGTGCCTCCCGCTTTGCTTGTTCGGTTTCTAAGGGAACATCGTTCTGAGTGGGCTGATTATGGAGTTGATGCCTATTCTGCTGCATGCCTCAAGTCCAGTCCATATGCTGTTCCATGTGGCAGGCCTGGTGGTTTCCCTAGTAGCCAAGTCATCTTGCCTCTTGCTCATAAAGTGGAGCACGAAGAGGTAAGGCTGGGAATACATGGATTTACTTCCTTTGGTGAATGATATTGAAGAAATCAAACTTTGGGCTTAAAATTCTCCTATCAACTGCAGTTTTTGGAGGTGGTTCGTTTGGAGAGTCAGGCCTTCTCACCTGAGGAGATGGCTCTAGCACGAGATATGTACCTGTTGCAGGTTATTTCACAACCCAGTTAATTTAAAGTTTAGGTAAATTCCTTCCTAGTCAAATATACCCTAAGTTATTCATTTTTTTTGGATAAATTGTCTGCAGCTATGCAGTGGAGTTGATGAAAATGCTGTTGGCGCCTGTGCTCAACTTGTTTTTGCCCCTATTGACGAATCATTTGCTGACGATGCTCCTCTTCTTGCATCGGGCTTTCGTGTCATTCCACTGGATGGTAAAACGGTAAGCCTGCTTTGATTGAAGTCTTTTCTGCGGTGGTGTCAACTTCAAGCCCTCTAATCGTGTGTTATATACATATGTAGGATGGGCCTGCTGCGACTCGAACATTAGATTTGGCATCTACCCTTGAGGTTGGGGCAGGAGGGGTTACTCGTCCAGCCACTGAATCTGACTCAAACAGTTACAATCTGAGATCAGTCCTCACAATTGCATTCCAGTTTAGCTTTGAGAACCATTTGCGTGACAATGTGGCAGCCATGGCTAGGCAGTACGTGCGAAGTGTTGTTGCTTCCGTTCAGAGGGTTGCAACAGCCATTGCACCTTATTCTGGAATAGGTTCTCAAGTAGGTGGCAAATCATTCCCTGGCTCCCCAGAGGCTCTGACTCTCGCTCGCTGGATCAATAGAAGTTACAGGTCTGTTTGTTGTAAGACCTATCACATTGCTCGTTAGTTCATTGAGTTTCCAAGTTGCACTACCTTTACTAGTGTTAATTGTTGCACAGGGCGCATACTGGAGGAGACCTCTTTCGTGTGGAAAATTCACAAGCTGGGGATGCTTTGCTGAAGCAGCTGTGGCACCACTCTGATTCAATCTTGTGCTGCTCCCTGAAAACTAACAATGTAAGTGATGAATCCCTTAATAATACTGTATCATCTAATGTAAGTGATGAATGGGGTTTCCTTGAAAACTTAAGGCGGAACATTATCCTTTATAATGTTTTGGTTATATATATGCAATGTACTTTTGATGGGTTGCTGACCCTCTATTTCACCTAAATTTAGGGATCGCCTGTCTTCACCTTTGCAAACCAAGCTGGGCTGGACATGCTGGAAACAACATTGGTGGCTCTCCAGGACATCATGCTGGATAAGATCCTGGATGACGCTGGGCGGAAGGTTCTGTGCTCTGAGTTCTCTAAGATCATGCAAGAGGTAATCTGCTCGTAATGTTTCTAGACTAATTAATCATCACAATCTGCATTGAAATGAAACGAGAATTGTTGTTTGACTCTAGTTTGTTGGTTGCGCACTGGACAGGGGTTTGCATATCTGCCAGCAGGGATCTGTGTGTCGAGCATGGGGCGACCGGTGGCTTACGAGCAGGCGATTGCATGGAAAGTAGTCAACGACGATGATTCGCATCACTGCCTGGCTTTCATGTTCGTCAACTGGTCCTTCGTGTGAAATCTATCTCTAAGTCTATGTATCTCAAGTTATCTATCTAAGTTATATTATTAGGGCAGCTCGTCTGTGGAAAGATGCGCACTTTTCTGAAGCACAAACAGGAAACCTTAGGTATTATGGATGTTGGTTGTTAGTTGTTAGTGACGTGTGAGTGGCATGGATGGATATATTGCCCATTTTGTTGGTGTTATTGTTGATGGATAATGGTTCGTTGCTTGCTTATCAATTTTCCGTAACACTTTTCAAGCGTTTCCTTATAATCCCAGTTCAATATTTGTTTGATAAAAAAAAAAAGAGGAGGGAAAGAAAGCAGAGGCAGGCAGAGATATCGCACTGATCTTTCAAAACCCCTTTTCCTTCCTCTCTCCCTCATACGCTTCCAATTTACTCACGAGCAGAACGAACCCTTTCATTTTATTGCTGTGACGTGCAAGCTGCTGCTGTACTGTTCCTTTTCCCCTGCTCTATTGCAGTTTGATTTGGGGTAACGCAGTAGGTATAGTCATCTATTTTGTTTCTTTCTGTGTCATTGTTTGTACTGTGTAACGTACGTATAGATTACTACACGAGAGAGAGAGAGAGAGAGCAGTAACTAGTGACTAGTAAGTAATAAGGAAGCGCCATTAATGGATCAAATAGGCATGAATGATGAAAGCGGAAGCAGAGAAGCAGCAGACCAGAGCCGTCCCTTTATTACCATGGCAGAGAAGAGAAGGGAGAGATTTAGTAGCATCTATCTCGGGTTAATAGACAGAGACAGACTATCAGATTTAATTAGTAGTAAGCTACTACTATCACGAAGCATTGCCGGAGAGGTTGAAGCAGGCTGCTCTACTTACTACCTTACTTGACGCCGTTCACTAAAGAAAAGAGAGATTTATGGCGACATTGACACTCATAGAGATATATAAATTTATGGTATTCGTCTATAATTAGCCAAGCCTAATCTATTAAATTTTTTATGGAAACCTGTGGAAGCCTAATCTGTTAATTATCTCCTGTAAATTGTATACTTATAACTACAACTTTAATACCAGGGTCCTAGCTCTTTTGGTGAGACATCATTTCTCCTTTCTTGCATGTCCACACCATATTTTTCAACAAATACATCATTTGCTGGTCTTTGATCACACCATTAGAGAATTGTGAAATCATTCTTCAAGTAATCATATGATATTATCAAACTATCTTATTGTTATACAAAAGAGAGAGAGAAGAGATGAGAGAATCAAGAGATAGGACTATACTTGTAGAAGAAATGCGCGCGGTTTATTTCATTATTCTTGAAGAACTGAAGCTTCGTATATACAGTATGGTTCAACAAACGAGCAAGTGTTCCAACTGTAAGAACTAAGAAACCAACAATAGCCGTCCCACCGGGTTTGTGAGAATGTGTAACATTGGATCTTCCGATCGAGCTGACCAATTGTCTAGCGATTTCTTAACAATTTGAAACCTCGAGGTACAACTAATATGAACAAATCTTTGATAAACTGATCCTGATTTTATTTAGGGATCGTTTAGATGGGTTAATTGTCAATGTGGTATTTGTAGAGTCAAATAAATCATTTATTATTCATGTGATATTTCAGTGTTATTTCAATGGTAATTGAAATAAAGTATCTCGTTTGGTTGAACCATGCAATTGTGGTATTTGGTAAAAGCAGAGTGATAAAACGAGTTATTTCAAAATAACACATGAGTATAAATTATTTCAAATAACTCATTTCCGTAAAATGTTACCAAACGAGTTATTTGTGCCCAAATAACTCATATAAATACTCCATCCAAACCACCCTTATTATACTCGATCCAAATTTTCTTTTCTCTACATTTGTTATCTTGGCAGAAGCGAAATTCAATCCATTGAAGATGAACATGCCCAGTTTTTTCTTGGGGGAATTTCTTCCCCTTGGGAAGCCCTAAACCAGGGAAATGAGATCTCGCTTGAAACCGTTAGTCATTTCATCCCTTAAAGGAGATGGAGACTCTGAAAAAATGAATGAGAGTGGATCATGAAATTCGTTCGCGAATAGTAATACGCTATACGACGACATATTGAATCTTCATACTCTCACCAAGATTACAGCTAAAAACTTTGTTTTTTTTAATAATAATGATGGGATATATATAAGGAGCGGTGCATGAAGAGATGGTATAATATTTCAAATAAGGAAATGAGTAGGATGGGGTCTTGTTCAATAAGATAATGTGTCCCTTTTTTGGGCAATTATCCTATTCCTCGTGAATCATAACTTGATGTCTGACCAACTTCCTAAATCTATCACAAATTCACAAGTTGTTTTGTTTTGTTTTTTTTTTGTTTTTAATGAATAATTGATAACAAGTTGTTAGAAAGAAGCAATTGATCACCTTTCTGTTTCAATCAATCTATCATCCCATCCCATGCACCTCTTCCTTAACCCTTATCCTTTGGGAGGATTAGTTAGGTGATAGTATGATGCCAGCCATTGCAACCATTTTGAGAGCGGCTTTGTGAGGGAGTAAACCGGTTGAGAAAACCATTCAGAAACGTAATGTGATCATAAAACTATTGATCCCCATCGAAATACTTGGCAAAATAATAATCCACAACATCATATTTCATAACTGAATCGATCGCTAAAAAACGTATCGAAGAAAGAAGTTGACGACTAGCTAGCGTATCGGATTGGTACGAACTAGGCAGAAAGGTTAGGATTTGATAAAGATGATTAGTTGCTATCAAGTTGAGTGACCAATTAGAGGTTGAACCCCATTAGTAACTTGCTGGTTAAATCATTAAAGTCCAACCAAAGTGTTCTTCCTTTTAATGCATCTGTTCTTCAAATTTTCCACACACAAAAAAAAAATATTGTTTTTTTTTTTACAAAAGTGTGTGTTACAAAAATACATAAAAATGTGGGTTATGGCAAATAAAAGTTAACAGCCTTTAATACCACTCCTAATGATGACATGTATAGTACAAATATATTGACCAATAATGTGCCATTATTAGTAGGGAAAGACACCAAGATTTGGTCTGTTTATCACCATTAATTCAAAATTTAGTTTATTATATATTCCCTTAATATATATAATAATGGTGTTATTATTTCTCCACGTCAATTCTGATGATGCTGCATTGGGACTCCTAAAATTTTATTCCTTTTGTCCATCCAATTACACTTTGCTCCTATCCATCATTCCACTGCCATGCATGGACCCTCCTAAACCACAACAAGCCAGACAGACAGACACCGTGTACAGAAAAGGAAAGAAGAAGAGGAGGTGCTAAATGAGTACCAAAAATGATACTAGTTTTGGTCGAAGTTTATCGAAAAGATATATCGATAATATTTTAGACAAAAATTAGTGATGACTAGAAGAAAATAAACATATTACTAATACATTTCAATATATTTTGAAGCATGTCGGTTTTTTTGCAAATGAGATATGAGTGATACTCAGTATCGTAAAAATTTGATTTATTAATTATGGACTTAAAGTTACGAGTGCTTTTATGTGAAATAAACAACTTAATAAATCAGGTTGCAAAATTTGAAGAACTAAATTGATCTAATTTACAATCATAGTGGTTGAGAGACCACACTATAACAATTGAATGATTAATTGGAGATACTTATGATTGAACATGCAACGGTGAGAGTGGATGAATGAGATAAGATCATAACCCCTTGAGAAGTTAGCATCATGCTAATTAGTCTAATAACTTTTAAATCAAATTAGTGAATTTAGGATTATAATTAATTGAAGAATAATATGGTCCATATTTAATCAAATCTAATATAAATACTCCGCAGTCCTCTCTCCCACTCTCACACATCTCTCCCACAAATGACAAAAACCTTACCATCTCTCTCCCGTGAAACATAACTCATCCCCTTCGTCAAAGTTAATAAGTTACACGCGACGAAACAGTTCGCATACTTGTACGATTAGGGACAGTGGTAAAGAGAGAGTGTATAGTAGTGTTAATTTGATGTAGTAGTGATTATATTTGTAGATATCAATACGTAATTGCTACAATGAGTAGATATTCGTCTAACTATATTTGTAGATATTATTAATTGGTATCTATTTCTCGATTTTATTTTTTTTCAAAATCATCGATTTTTTTATACGGTTAGTAGTTTTTACTTACCTATAGTAGTAATTTTTTTCCATTTGTAGTAGTTATTACTTATTAATTAATTTTAGTCGTGATTCTTAGTAAAGTCGTCAATAAATATTAATAAAAAATTCCTTCCTAGTTAGTGCTTCCTTTCCTTTTTCTTTGTCCCCCGCACACATAGAATATGCGAGGAAAAGAAAGAGACATATGGACATGATCGATGCTGAGGAAAGCAATTGACTTGCACATCTCACAAAGGTTGACATTTGCTCTCTCTCAACGCATATACTATGGAGTGTAACTTTTCTTTCTCTTTTGCATCTTTACTCTTTACAAAAGGAAGGGGAAAAAAGCATCCAAAGCTTGAAATTTTTCACTCCATTGATCTCTCTCTCTCTCTCTCTCTCTCTCTCTCTCTCTCTCTCTCTCTCTCTCATTTATCTATTGGATTCTTAAGAGGCAAGGGATGAGAGTGAGTGGGGAACACTCTCAATTGTTACTGCTGCATGCCCAAAACTGTACAACTGATCTGTGTATTCTTGTTGGTTGGGTGCTCTTCCTTTTTCCCTAATTTCCTTACATATGATCTATAGCTGCTAGGGTTTTCAGGCTTGAAGTTTAGTGCAAGCCTGTCCCTCTCTTTCTCTCCTCATCTTAAATTGATTTTGAAGCTTTTTAAGGTGCAAAGTTGATATCTATCCTTAATAAGATTTGCTAGTCCCACATGGAATTTGGAGTAATATATGTGAAAAGAAGAATAGGAAGAAGAAGATGATCATGAAGGTAGACTCATAGAAGAATGAAGACAGCTCCTGGGTTCATGATGACATTTGCACATGAATCACCATCACAAGATTACTCCTTTAATTATGTTCTACATTATTTTTTCTTTCTATGCTATGCACGAATCGCATTGTAGGTATTATTATATTGGAATTTACATTAACAAACGAGTATGATGATTATCATATATCCGTGATTTTTTTTAAAATTTATGATACGCTCCACTTTCACTTTGTAATCTTTTTATATATAAGAATTAAAAATAGATGAGATATCATCATGAAACAAGATTTTTTTAATTTTGTTCAGCTTATTGTATGAACATTTTTTCTTAATTTTGTTTTGTAGAAATTATGGGACAAATGTAAATTTTGTAATAAAAATATAGATGCTTCATTGAGTGTACATTGAATAATAACAACAGAGAAGATGTATGTAGCGCGGAATCGAAATTTATGAAATTCCACTCTAAAAGAACATCTACATCAAACTATCATATTTAATTGCAAAATGATATGACAATGAAAATGAAATCCATTGATGGAAGTGTCAATTGCAATAATGCAAAGCTACAAATTTTTGCAATTCCATTTGTTTATGTGAACCTAAGATTCTTATTAATCAGTAGTCGGAGTCATACAGTCCAGCCGTAACTGATCAACAAAAAATATCGGTGGTCTATCAATCCAAAACATTGGACTGTCCCAGTTGGTCTCACTATGAGCCATGATGTGTGTCGCTTCATTCGCTTCTCTTCTCACATATTGCCATGGTCTCGATCCAGTTTCATCCAACACTCTCCTGATGCTTCTGCAAATGGTCCCTATCTCAGTTTGTATAGCATTTCCTTCTTTCAGCTTGTGTACTAAGCTCAAGCAGTCTATCTCTAATGTCACATTCATGTAATGAAGTTGGTGTGCCAGTTACCCCGAATTCCGCCGTCAAAGCTTCCGTCTCCTCAGCTTCCCAGTTACCACTCACTTTTTGGGCTGCTGCAAAGAAAAACTATCATGTATCATCTCTCGCCACTACTCCCAAACCCGCTCCCCCTCCTTGTAAAACACCTGCGTCTGTGTTCACTTTCACCCAGCCCAATCGTGGTTGTTGCCATTTCACCTGCAAATTATCCTGATGAATACTCTCTCCTCGTTGTTGGTGGTCTTTGTACTCGTGTAAAAAGCAGGACGCATGCGATACAATGATGGTTTCCTCCATCTTGCTCCCGTTAAAACAATGAGCATTACGCTCCTTCCACAGGTACCACATCAAAACACTCCATTCTTCACACTCCTCATCTCCTGCTGTCTTGAAGACCCCCGTCACCCATTCAATACAGCTTCGGCCTGCATGCTTTTCAAAGTACCTAGCAAAGCTTGTTGATCGCCAAAGCCTGCAAGTCCATCTGCATTCCCCAAAAAAGTGCACCTGAGTTCCCGGAACCCACAGAAAGCACATTTGTCTCATCTTCTCTTGCTCCGTACACTCAAGTAGTCCCCTGTAGGTAACACGTCACGAGCAAAACACCACATGAAATGGCATATTTTCGGCAACACATTAAGAGATAAAAGCTTGTTCCATGTTTCAGCATCTCCCACTGGTTGGATTCTTTCCCTTTCTTTAAATCTTTCAAACTAATGTTTGTAAGCATCACGAACTGTATAATGTCGTGTCTTGTTATTCCAAATTAAGCGGTCTATCTCTCCAGCACTTCTCAACGGAATGCACAAAATGGCGTTAACCATCGCTCTTGGGAAACAACTTTCAATAATTGTGTGATCCCATTGTTTTGTCTCCGGATTGATGAGCTCTCTAACCATGGCATCAACAGGCAGACCTTGGGGCGCCGACATGATGTAAGTGTTCTTCCCTCCTAGTAGCCATCGCCCCCCCCCCCCCCCCCCCCATATCCGAACGGACGCACCATTCCCTATTCGCCATCTCATTCCTCCAATCATGAAATCTTGCGCTCCCATCAGGCTGCACCATATGTAACTAGGACGATATCCTAAACTACCATTCATAATATCTGTTGACTTATGATACTTGGCTTTTAGAACTCGTGCTACAAGGGTTTCTGGTCTCTGAGCTAAATTCCAAAGTTGTCTCGCCAAAAGAGCTACATTGAAGCCTCCCAGGTCCATAAACCCCATCCCTCCTTCTTGTTTTGGCGCCGTCATAGCCTCTCTTCGAATCCAATGGGCACGTTTCTCATCCTATTGTTGGCCCCACCAGAAGTTCATTATCAAGTTGTGGATTTCTTCAATGGTGCCCTCAGGAACTCGAAAAACTGACATAGATAGATTAATTAAGCCCGTGCAACAGATTTGATTAGGACTTTCCTTGCTGCAACTATCATAACCTTCTCTTTCCAGCCTTTCAGTTTATTTATGATCCTCTCTTTTATCCCCACAAACAACTCCTTCTTCGAGCGACCCGCCTCGGTGGCCAAGCCAAGATACTTCTCATGTTTGTCAACAATATGCATATTAAGGAAAAAACCCACTTCCAGCTTGCGGTGCGGCTTCACATTGCAGCTAAACAAGACTTCGGACTTAGGAAAGCTCACTAGCTACCCCGACTCCACCTGATAATCGTGGAAGATTTTCTTTAGTTCAGTGGCCTCCTGGATAGTATCCCTTCCAAAAAAGAAACTATCGTCAGCAAAAAACAGGTGGGACACTATCGGGACCCTTTTAGTCACCATGAACCCATGGAGTCGCCCCTCCTCAACCGCTAGTTGTGTGTATGTAGACAGCCCCACTGCACAAAGAAGAAACAGGTATGGCGATAGTTGATCGCCCTACCTGAGTCCTCTTTCTGGTCTGAAGCTCGGTGACAGGTGCCCATTCGCCATAATGGAGAAGGTAACTGAGGAAACACACATCATAATCAGCTGAATCCATCTATCGACAAAACCCATCCTACTCATTACTCCTTCTAGGAAGTGCCACTCTACACGGTCATAGGCTTTTGTCATGTCTACCTTTGATGCAAAGTATCCTTGACGTTTTTCCAGTTGCCTCTTCATGGAATGGAAGCATTCAAAAGTCGTGATAATATTATCAGTTATGGATCTTCCTGACACAAAGGCACTCTGCTATGGGGATATCACTTTTTCCAGCAGCCCCTTTAATCTTTTCGCGAACACCTTTGCCAAAATCTTATAAAGAACGTTACATAGACTAATAGGCCGAAATTCCTTAGGCGATGTCGGGGTCTTAGGCTAACTCCAATGGAGCCTTTATAAATGGGGGAGTCACTATATTTGGGGAAAAGTTGACTCCAATGGAGTCTCTATAAATGGAGGAGTCTCTATATTTGGAGGAGATCTGCAAAAGGATCCCCAAATTTGGGGGTGAAAATGGGGATTCCCCCAAATATAGAGACTCCCCAAAGGCCGCCACGTGGCTTTTCTTATTCTTTTTAAGATTTTAGGGGATAATTAGAGTTTAATTAGGGGATTAGTTAGAGGTTTAATTTGATCAATAATTTTCAAGTGTTGTGTGTAAACCCAAATTAATTCAATCATTTTTTGTCAAAAAAAATTTGGTCTTGAAATTTAAAAAATTTCTACCAGAAAATTTGTATTTAAAAATGATGACGAACTCTACAAAAATTAACATGAACAAATTGTATTAAGATAATCATAAGTATAGGTGTCAAAACATGCCCGACCCGATTAACCCGCCCGATCAACCCGACCCGCAACCCGACCGCAACCCGAATTGACTAAAAGTCAACAACTCGTAACCCGCCCGACCCGCAACCCGATTGTCCCGCAACCCGACTGACCCGCAACCCGATTAACCCGAACCCGATTGACCCAAACCCGACTAACCCGTAACCCGACCGACTCAACCCGAATTTCATCTAATCCACTTGAATAATTATAAATGAGAATTCCTTTTCCTACTGCTATTACCTTTGTATCTTGCAGTGCCTTCTCAACCATAGTTCCTTGGCAACTTGGATTAGCTAATTAGTGTTCAATAGATTATCAACCACATGTTTCATAATCTCTGGAAATTAAATACTTCTCAACCACATGGCTACTGCCCATTTACATCAATGGCCTTTCTGCTGGCGGCAAATCTCCCTATTGAAGCAGGGGCAACACATTCATATCAAATAGTTGCTGGAAGAAAATACGAACAACAAATAGATAAGATGGCTACAAAGGGAGAAAGTATACTCATATAAAGCAATCGAAATAAAGGGATGGACGCCAATACTACCAAAATCATGAAAGAAACATGTAAGCTGTACTTAATCTTTAGGCTGAAACTAACCCCTACCTGAAATAAGAACCAATCACAAGTCATTGCCCTCTTCTCACTATAATTCCGTTGCAACAGCTGGTCACTATCATGGCTTCCCAAGCTCAATTCAACCGAATAAAGATTACAACTCTGCAAAAGAAGTTTCCTTCTTTCAGCTGCAGCTGCAGTTTAGAGTTGGGGAAAGTTTCCTTTTTTTGTCGTCTCTCTGCAACGCAAACCACAACATCCCTAACCGCCTACCAAACCGAGCCGCCAGTCCACCTCCAAACTTGCCGTTGTCGTTCTCAATCGTCGCCAGTCTACCTCCAAACTTGAAACCCTAACAATAAACCCCCTTGAAGAGCATGCTTCTTCATCGATCTGTTTCGCCATGGAAGAGGGCATCAGATGGATCTATCTGAATTGCTAAGAAAATAGGGTTTTGGCAGTAAGAGTGTGGGGAAAGTTCGGAGAAATGGAAGGAACTATTTGGGTGGAGAAAAAGGCAGGAAGAGCAGTGGAAGAGACGCTAGAAAAAGTCAAGCGGCAAAGGGATTGGCTTTCTTTAATTCGCCTTTAGATCTAGTTTTCTCCATCTAGTATGTTAATTTTTTCAATTCCATGGACCGAAAAATGGCGGGCAAAGCAAAATTTTGGAGGCAAAGCAATTTTTTCGAGCAAAGCAGATATTTTGGAGCAAAAGCAATTTTTGGGTGTGAAAAGTGGCGGGGAAAGCAAATATTTTGGAGCCAAAACAATTTTTTAAGGAGAAAGCAAATATTTTTGGAGCAAAAGCAATTTTTTGGGGGCAAAACAAAATTTTTTGCTAAAGGAAATTCTCCCTCCTAAAATTTTGGAATAAAGTTCTTATAAAGTTAAATTGTCACATTAATCACCAAAATTTATCGTGATTAACAATTAATTACGATAAATAAACACTAAAATACAGATAAATTAGTTACCGTGATCATAACTATATGATCGAATACGGGAACGTTTACTGTGACTATTAGCATAGTTTTTAACACGGAAAAAATTACCGTGAATAAGATCCCGTGACTAGAAATCAATTTTCCTGTAGTGTGGGTTAGGGTATAAGGTATTAATGGTTTAACAATTATTAGTCAAAATCATAACTAATAAGATCAACTTTTCTTATTAACACATGTTCATCAATCAGAATTCAGATCATTAGGGGTTTAGGGTATAGGTTATAGAGTCGACTTATAGGGTATATGGTTAGGGTATAAGGTTTTAATGGTTTGACCACGGTTAGTCAAAATCATAACTGATAAGATGAACTTTTCTTATTAACATATGTTCATGAATCAAACCAGTAGGGGTTTAGGGTATAGGTTATAGAGTCGACTTGTAGGGTATATGGTTAGAGTATAAGGTATTAATGGTTTGGCCACGATTAGTCAAAATCATAACTAATAAGATCAAGTTTTCTTATTAATATATGTTCATGAATCAATATATTGGTTAATTTAACTATTCAATAAAATTATCAATTAAATATAAATAAATAAAGTAATGTATTTGGTAATTTGATGTTTTTAAAAGAAGATGGAAATTTTGGTGTATTCAAAGTATGGTTAAGGTATAACAATTAGCAAATATCACTTTTTATCTATGTTTTGAAAATCAAAGTATGAATTTCACTTTTAAATTAACTATACTAGCAAAATCACAACTAAAGGACATATGGTTAGGGTATTGGTTATGTGGTTAGTGTATAATGTATTGATGGTTTAGGGTATACAATCAACAACATATACTAACTTAATATTGTTGATTGAGGGTAAGGCTAAGTGTATAGGATATATGCTATTGAGTAAGTTATGGTTGAAGTCACAATAATTTTACTAAATTTGATAGCTAATCTTTAATGGTTCAATTTTTAGGATAATTCGAACAATTTTACAAATAACTCGTTTGGCAACAGTTTACTGAAGTTATTTGGGCAATGAGTTATTTTGAAATAACTTCTTTTATCACTATGCTTTTGCCAATTACCACACGCCAAATACCAGATTTGCATGGTTATACTAAACGAGATACTTTAATTCAATTACTACTGAATTAATACTAAAATATAAAATAAACAATTAACGGTGTCTTTTGGTTGCAAATATTGATATCACCATTACTATTAGCTATAATACTTTACCAATTATGATTAATTACATAACAAGTTTGCAAGTCATACAAATTGATTTAAAATTTTGACTAGTTTTTTCAAAAAAATAAAGTATATATATACGAGGTAGAAATAAATTGGTTAAAAAGTTGAGAAAATATTTTAAATTAGTGTAATAAAATGTGTAAGTTGGTAATGAGTAATGAGTTAAGTTACTTGATGCGCTGGCCCGAACAACCCGAAACCCGACCCGCCCGCAACCCGCCCGACCCAAAACCCGATGAACCCGCAACCCGATTTGCTCGCAACCCGATTGAACCCGAACCCGATGAACCCGCAACCCGACTAACCCGCAACCCGTTTGAACCCGAACCCGATGAACCCGAACCCGATGAACCCGCAACCCGACTAACCCGCAACCCGTTTGAACCCGAACCCGATTGAACCCAGCCTGAACCCGCCCGAACCCGCCCGATTGACACCTATAATCATAAGTATGTTTTTAAGTAAAGAAAAACTAACTAAAAAGAAAGATCCCAAAATTTGGAGAATATAGCTTTGGAAGAAAAGATGAGAAAATGGGGACGATCCCCAAATTTGGGGATGAAGATCCCCAAATTTGGAGAATAGCAATGGACTTGGCCTTAACCTTTTGAATTAAGGCTATCAGTGTATTATTAAGGTCACCCCAACATGCATCCAGTTTGGAAAATCTCCATCACCATCTCCGTCACAACGCCTCCTACTATTCCCAGTACTTCTGAAAAATAGAGCCGACATAACATCCGGTCCTGGAGCTTTCCGCGAGCCCATCTGCTTAAGAGCATCAGTGATCTCTTCTTCAGTTACCGGCCACAGTAGGCGCTCATTATCATGTTCGGTGATGCTCGCCTGTATAGAATTCAGCACTCCCGACTCCTCGAGAACAAGACCTACACGGAAAGATCAGAAAAATAATTGTTCAGACAGCCGAACAATTGTTCCAAACCCACATGCCATCTCCCCACTTTGTCTCGCAACTTCCGAATCGTGTTCCTCCTTCTCCAGGCTGAAGCTTTCCTATGAAAGAAATTCGTATGCTTATCTCCCCCTGTAGCCAATCAGTCCGCGATCGCTGCTTCCAGAATAGTTTCTCATTCGCTTCCAGCTCCTCTAATTCCTTTTCCAGCTCCTGCCTTTGTTGAATGACTTGGGGAGTCTTGGCAGAGCGCTCGATCACTCCAAAAGCTTTCCTTATGCGGTTTCTTTGTTTTGAGAAGTTTGGGAAAGTGCCTCTACTCCAAGTGTCCAAACATCTTCTACATATATTAATTTGTTCCATCACGCTGCCATCTCCACTTCGCCATGCCTTCTCAATCACCTATGGGCATGCCTCATGTTTTGACCAATGAGGCTCTAATTTGAAACTCGAACCTCATTTGATTTCCTCATCGTCTTCTCCCCTCGTCTCACCGAGGAGTGGCCGATGGTTCGATCTGTTCCAATCTAAGTGCGTGACTCGAGCAGTTGAAAACAAGTCCGACCATTCATCTCGTGACACAAATCGTAGGTGAATTGAATTAATATAAGTTTTGTGCATTATAGGTTGGTTATCGACCTTACCACATTCGTGGTACGAGCAATTTAGTGAGATACCATCTACCTTACCAACCATATCTCGTTGATGCGGGCTTGTCTACGGTTCTGCCATTAGACCCTCTTACCGGTGATCCAGGTTTGGTTACTGCGCTCGTAGAGTGTTGGTGACCCGAGACATTGACCTTCCACATGTCGTTCGATGAGGTGACGATCACCCTAGTGGACGTTGCGACACTGACCGGTCTAGCGAACGACGGTGAAGCCATCGTAGTAGACATACCAGACTAGGACTGGACGGCTATGTGTCTTTGAATGTTACGACGGGCTCCTACTGATCTTGGCGGCGGCGTCATTAAGATATCTTGGCTCAAAAAGACTTTTCATGAGCTACCGCTTTCTGCATCACCATAGACTACAGAGCAGTTTGCACGAGCTTATGCTCTGTCTCTGATGGGAGGTGTCTTGTTCCCCGATCGGTCTGGAGGTTCAGTTCGCCTGCAGTACCTACTTTTGGTGGATGATTGGCGCAGAGCGCGGAGGTTTGCTTGGGGAGCAGTTGTTCTATCCTACCTGTACCGTTAAATGGGTAGATCAGCGCTGCAGATGACGACATCTTCTTCACTGGGTGGTGACTTTGGTGGATGGTTTGCCTTGCTGATGATCTGGACGTGGGAGCAATTTCCTCATACAACACCACTACATATAGAAACGGGTGCACATATTACCCAGGACGCAGTGCCACGTGGCCTTCGATGGCTTCCGGCCCACACCCGTCAGCATGGAGATCAGTTCTATATGTACAAGGTGTGGTTTGACGAGTGCACGACATTCGTGGTTAGTATATAACTTTTCGTTATATAGAATAGTTTTCATTGATTTGTTATATATTTAGGAGTAATTATGTGACCAATCCTTGTGTGCAGTGGCGTCCATACTTTGATAGAGGTCAGGACTACAGCGGTAGTGTGATCCAATCCGACAGGTTTAGAGCAGTAGTTCCGTTGATCTGCTTATCATCGCAAATGTGGCATCATCCAGATCGCGTGCTAGGACAGTTTGGGAAGATTCACGACCAACCTCATCCTCCACATTCCGCGACTGAGATTAGGTTTTTCCTTCGTCAGAGCCAGCATGGGCCATCACGTGGCTAGCAGTTCATACAGGCAGCCAGCGAGTCGATTGAGTTGTGGAACCGTCGACATGAGTTCATCGTGCGAACGAGCTACACTAACGTACCTTTAGCTTACCACTCGGAGCATTGAGAGTGGTATCGAGATGTCACTAGACGTTCAGGCACACGAAGAGGAGCTGCACTGAACGCAGCGATTAGTTTTTTATTAATTCATATTTGTGTTTTAATTGTTTTTAGATGTGTAGAATTTCTTATGTTTTACATTAAATTTGCAGTACGACTGCATGGAGTCTGTTGAGGTGGGTTTACCTGATGGAATGAGAGCATGAGGGATGTTATATGACCAGATGGAGGAATTTGCTGACCAGTTGGCGGCAGGGGTTACAGCTTTAGTATTCAATTATCGTCGGCATCCTGATCCTACGGAGTCGATACAGCGGTATCCTATTGGTGAGCGCAGCTTAGCCATCTGGTTAGAGCGTAGGGTTCAGCCATCGGAATGGGGCGTGCCACCGCCACAGTTCACGGAGGAGCCCAGGAGGAGGAGACATCGACGTGAGCAGCGTGACCTACCTCGTCCAGTGAGGTACTCAAATCGTCAGCCAGTGCAGCCAGTCAGACCTACTTCGACCTTCTAGTTCCACCAGCCTTCTCAGCCACAGTTTCATCCGGGTGCGTTTACCGGATTTCAGGCAGGCACCAGTTCTAGCCCTCAATTTCAGCCACCGGAAGATAGCTTTCATACACCGCAGCATGCTACGATGGGAGGCGGACACATGGGATCAGGTAGTGATACCGTGCCAGATTTGGACCCAGATGAGTGGGAGCGTCTAGATGGTGATATGGTTTTCGGACATCGATGTGGGCATATGAGCAGCAGCGACAAGAAGGTGCACCAGATGAGCAGGTTCAGTCTCAGGTGGATGAGATGTTCAAACAACAACAACTTTTGCAAGGCAAATCGAAAATCCGAACAACAACTGCTACATTCGAACAAACTTCTCAACCACGTCTATTACCTCTACTTCCTCTTCTACCACCTCTCGCACTTCGTTGGCCACCACTCCCTCTTCGGTTGCTCACACTCCCACTTGCTTGGCCACCACATGTTGATGCATTATGTCCCGCTTGGTTACAGTTGCTACACACTTGGTGTGATGCACCCTCTCTTGGCCAATCCATCTCGTTGTGAATTCTTGTTGATCTTGGCCTCCCCGACTTTCTAATCATGTGCAGATTAGGGTGGAGAGTAGGGTCACTATGCTTCTTTCAACCCTTAGGTTCACCAAGAGGAGTGAAACTTGTCCCATAACAAGCCAACACTGTTTGAAGCTTGTAGACGTCGTTTACAAACCTATACAGATTAGCCCCCATTCGGTTGCAAGCTGCAATTGCATGAGAGCAAGGAATTTTGTTTCCTTGAAATTTCCCACAGGTGCAAAATCTCGCCCGGTTGCGGTCGTCAAAGTGCACTGTGAGTGTGTTTGACCCCGTCACGTTGAAATTGTTGGGAGGAGTCTGAACTACATAGATGCCTAGACGTCGATCAATCGCTGTCACGGAATGTCCAACTGCCTTTTGTGACCACGACTTCATCAGCTCTTTGCATTTGGTGGATTCTGTGAAGGACCACTTCTAATTTCTGCTCCTGTCTCCAACCTCATCTTATCGAATTTCTCCACCAATCGTCAATAGGTATGTTGCACAAGAGAAGCTATAGGAAGTGCACGAATACCTTTGAAAACACCATTGATGCTTTCTGCCATGTTGGATGTCATGATAGACCAACGACGCCCACTATTGTAGTTATCATGTGCTAAACTCCAACGAATATGATGTTGGTCCACCCAATTATCACATGAAATATTTCTATTAGTGGCCACCTTAAATTGCTCAACTTGACGATCGAACTTCTCCAAGCATTTTTCTCCGGCTAACAAAATAAACTATCACACGGGTTAGATAAATTCATGAAAAAATTACATGAAAACAAATAACAAAATTTAATGAAGAAGGCTTACCGACTCGAAATAGTTGCTTATACATAATCCTGCTTTTAGTCTTCTTTACAAATTGCTTGCATAGTGTCGCATGCACCACCTCCACTCCTAACCTCTTTCGATCTTATTCATGGCTTCATAGAGTCCCGCATGTCTATCTGAGATGATGCATACATCATTTCGATCAGTCAAACCCTGAACGTGACTTATGAACCACGACCACCTGTCAGTATTCTCGCTCTCCAATATGACAAATGCAATTGGAAAAATCTTCTTCCGGCCATCAAATGAGCCCTCCATGAGTAGCACTCTTTTATACTTCCCAATAAGAAATGTTCCATCAACAACCATGACACCTGGAAAATTCTTGAATCCATCTATACAAGGTCCATAAGCCTAGAATACTCGCTGAAAATATCGAATGACTTGGTTGAGCTGAAGGAACTCTTACCCAATCAATCACCAATTAATGTTGGCATTTTTCTCTTTAACACCCGCAAGAATGTTTGCAAATAATCGTAGGATTCTTCCCAATTCTCATGCAACTTCTCCAATGCTCTTTCTTTCCCATACCAAAACTTTTTGTAAGTAACTTGCGTATTAAACTTATCTTTCAACTCGGCCTGCACAGTTAGAACACTCAGATTTGGTTGGGCACGTACCAAGTGTTTCACGGACTCAGATATAACATCGACATCAAGATGGCGATGATCCATCGGTTGAGTCGTACTGCTACAAGTTTTTACCAACTCGGTCTTTCTCACAGTCCAATCGCCTCCCACATCTCGACATCCAAACCGCACCATCCAAGGATAGTTGTCCTCCTTGTGCTTCAAACATCTGATCTTCCATATTGAAGGTGACGACTCCACCACGTTATACTGAAAGTTGCGTTGTAGTGCGTAGTGTTTAATCGCCACCTGTGCAACTTGTTTCTAGTGAAATATCTGCCCCTTGTAGAATTCTCCATCAAAACCACCAATAATAGGCATTGGAATTACGCCATATAAACCAACATATGATAATTTGTCGTCCTCTACATTACCCTGCAAGTAAAAATATGGAAGATAATTAAGTTGTTCTCCTTCCTTCTCTTCTTCCTCCTCCTCCTCCTCCTCCTCCTCATCATCATCATCTTCCTCCTCTCCGCCATCACCGTCATCATAGTCATGATCGGATGGCATGCTCCATGTGTCATCTTCTTCCTCTCCACCCTGATCCTCACTGAGCTCAGCATGTATCTCAGCACCCAAACAATAAGGGTTTTGTGCCATAAATTCCAAAGCACATTCAAGTTATCATCATCGACAATAGGCATCGCATCATGAAATAAAATACCATTATGTCATTCTGGAAGACAGTAAGTGAAACCTGTAATCACAACACTATCTTGTACTACTTCGTCTCTACGCCGTATTCTCCGAACTAGATTATCACAAAGTTTCTGATAGTTCACCATGGATGGAATAGTCATCTGAAAACTTAGACCACCAACGAAATGGACACCCTAATTGTCCTCTACTTTCTCTGATTTCCACCGAACAACTAGTTCAAAGCTTCTAAAACCACTACATAAAAAACAAACTCACTAATTACTAACTGGAAAAAATCATTATAGCATTTGAAGAATGCATTACAAAAATAAATACGTCTCTTACCTATTATTAGCCATCTTCCCAGCAACCAGACAACAACACCATAGCTTCTTTCGGAACTTCTTTCAGTTTTTTGGTGGTGAAGAACTGAAGGAAAGGCCAGTATATATGATGCTGGAGTGGAAGAAGAAGGCAGCGACCACGCCTCAGTCTGGGGCGCCGGCACTTTCGCTTTATATCAAGCGCCAACGCCCCAGTCTCGGGCGCCGCTGCTGGATTTTATTGAAAAACCAATATCTAGCGGCCGCGCCTAAGTCTCGGGCATGATCGCTTTTAACCTACCAAAAAACACCATATATGTGTAAATAGTTTTTAAACCACCATATTGCTGGTAATTGTTTTTTTAAGACAATATTTATGTCATTTACCGCACCATAACATGTTGCCTCCATCTACGCTATTATTTTTAACTTTTAAGGATTCGACTATTCAAGCATATGCATTCAATGCACTTCAATGACTTATTGGAGCGAATCGGGTCATTAACCATAGGGTGAGTAACCATGAGTAATCCGTCCACACCAGCGTCATTAGCATTCCTCTCTCTCATGGAAAACCTTTCATATTTTCTCCATTAATCTTTAACGGACGATTTCTCTCTCGTTTTAAGTTGAAATTTATTTTTTTGCAAGATAAATCATATTAATTGTGCTCTTTAAAATTATATTCACTTTGATATATTTTTAGAACAAAAAAAAATTTGAGACATTTTTTACCAGTCAATACCATATGGTATTAAATAGGAGCATACCATAAGGTAAGAAAGCGTACCATGATGGTATGAACATACCAAGACTGTAAGAAGGTTGAATACATGATAGTAGGAGTATACTAACTGTTATTTACGACTTCCATAATTTTTTTACCACAAGTTACCACCTCCATACCAGAGTGGTAAAGTATGGTAATTATTGGTCCTGTATTTTTTTCACCCAGAAATTTTTAGATCCCATAGATAAACTCGTTCCTTCTGTGCAAATATTTTCAAAAATGACTCAAAAACAAAGGAGTTACCATATGGTATGGAGTTGGTAACGAGATGTATGAAAAAAATTCTCAAAAAATATTGAAAATTGATCTCATTTTGTAGAACACAACGAACTCGTTCAATCTGTGAAAAAAAAATTGAAATACGAGTTAGAACGAAGAAAATAAGAGCCGATTAAAAAAACTAGAAAAAATAAAATGTCTTTAATTCACAACTCTTAGATCTAAAGTTTCTGGGCTTACTTAGACCTAAAGATCCTGATTGAGTTAATCATGGGTGAGTAACCCTTCTTGAGCCGACTTACTTGATAAGAAAAACGCAAGCCGGGGGGGGGGGGGGGGATAGAGTGACTCCCGTATGGGACAAAATGTGAGCAATTATAGCTTTCACCTTAATTATTTTTTGAGGTCTCTTGCTATAATCGAGTTTTTACTTGCTGAAGCTCATCGTTCTGAGAAACTGAGGCACTAAGGAGCTCATTACATCTCATTTTGGATTTCCAACCTCGATCTGCCATCATAAATACTTGGCAGTTCATTCTATGCGTGGGCATCGGTTCAGTTCGAAATTAAGCATATACATGTACATTGGTTCTCCCAAATGCTTAAATCAATCTCGAACTGAAATATATTTTGATTCGTTCTAGCTGACCCAAAGTATATGTCAGTTCGGTATGAAAAACCCAAAAAAACCAAGCATCTCTCAACCTCCTCATTTTCGTCGTCTTTGCATTCTCCCTTTCTTTTCATTCTCTATATTTTTTCACAGAGGCCTAAAGAAGAACAACCCAGAGGCCACTCTCCATCATAGGCGGATGCAGGGTGTTTGGGATGTGTCCCAGAATACAGGTAAGTTTTGGTAAAAAAAATAAATACATCCCTGTATATGCATTGATATAGTATAAAAATTATTTTGCCAATCCAATAAAGCTCAATTTTTGTCATTTAATTAATATAAAGTTAATTTATATGCTATTATGAAATCTTCAAATGAAATTAATCCCTAATTGGGCTTTTTTTCTCAATTACTATATTCAATTTTGTCCAACAACTATGAAGCCTAAAGCAAAAGCTTTGCTACTGGGCTCTCCCTTTTCTAATCGGCTAGTTTCCACTAGATATTAATTTTAAGGGTTAATATATCTATGTGGCCCTAACTTTTCACATATTAAACATTCAGACCAATTTTATCGATCTATAACTTCGTGTCCTCAACTATGCATCACAATTACGAAATTGACCAAACCCAAGATTTGACCGCTATCTTAGACTGCCAAACGCATTGACTAACGGTCAACGCACCACATCACTGCCACCTCGGCATATAACACTTTTTTTTTGTTTTTCCACCTATTACAATTTATCTTTTTTGAGTTAGTAGTGACGCGACGCGTTGACTGTTAGTCAACGCATTTGACCGTCCATGATAACGGTTTAATCTCGGGTTTTGCCAATTTCGTAACTTTGATACATAGTTGAGGCCACGAAGTTATAGATCGAAAAGTTTGGTTAGGATGTTTAATATATGAAAAGTTCGCGCCATATAAATATATTAACCCTAATTGTAATTATTAAATATTTATTTATATATTTATATTTTAAAAAGAGGACACATCTAGTTTCATAACATGGCTCCGCCACTGCTCTCCCTGGCGAATCGTGATCCCCACCGGCCACTGCTTGCATGTGGTTGTTAGCAATGTAGTCAAAATCGGGATTTTGATCATAAAATCGTAGGACTTTAGGATTTTACTTAGCGATTCCGATCCGAATTTTACTATAAAATCGACGGACCTTAAAATCGTTCAAAATCAGGATTAAAATTGTAAAATCGTACCAAAATCGGGATTTTGATCCTATGTGAACAAAATAGGTGGTTTGAACAAATTCAAAAGAATCACAACTGTTTTCACGAACAAGGGATTGGTCTAGTGGTAATACCACTAGCCAGGGAACCTTGAGGTCCCAGGTTCGAGTTCCTTCAGTAGTACCTAATAACAAAAAAAGTAACTTATATCATCCTTCTCTAAAAAAAAAGAAAAAAGAATCACAACTGTTAGTACCTAATAACAAAAAAAGTAACTTATATCATCCTTCTCTAAAAAAAAGAATCACAACTGTTTTCGCGGAAAGGACAATGACAACGATCTTCTTAGATATTTGTCCTCTTAAAAGAACATTTGCAAAAAAAAAAAAAAAAACACAACTGTTTTCGCGGAAAGGACAATAACAACGATCTTCTTAGATATTTGTCCTCTTAAAAGAACATTTGCAAAAAAAAAAAAAAAACAACAACCAAATTACGGCTTAGCCCCTTCCCCTAGTTTAACTCATCGGTAAAACAATTGTCATAATATTGTAAGTACGTAAGAATTAACATCATTATTAACAAATCAATTGATTAATTAATATATTTGTACCAAATCAATGACATCAATTATTTTATTGTAGTTCACTTGTCCTTAGTTATAAATCATGCTTAGTAGACGATGTCGCAAACACTACTTTGAATTAAACTATCTAAACACAACATGATGAACAAGAGCCAAACCCCATGAGCTCTACCCATTCCTCATTAATTATTTTGAGGCATTAAATAACAATTAAAATGATGATTTTGGAATATTATTCTCGAGAATTATCATTTTAAATGTTATGTGTCTTTGTGTTATTAATGATTTATCTTATTAATATTATTATATGTTAGTTTCTATATGATACTTAAAATCCTATGATTTCACTATTTGATTTTACGATCCCGCTTTTACCTCAATTTTCGATTTTAGGTAAAATTTTGATTTTGACTGCTTTGGTTGTTAGCGGTGCCATTGGATTGAAGCGGAGGCAAGATTTGCAAGTTTGGGCTACGGTTGGGAGGTTGTGACTGACTTTAGTCGGAGTTTGGGGTTGTGATCGGCGAGCAAGGGCTAAAATGAGAGATGACGGCGAGCAAGAGGGGAGGCGAGCGACGCTACCCCCCCCCCCCCCCCCCCCCCACTACTTTTCTCTTTCTTTATTTTCACAGGGTTAGCCGAGAGTGTGAGGCGGGCGCGGTGGCTGAGGTGTTAGAACTGCGATGCTACGGATCGGGAAATCGCTGGAATCGACAAAGTAAGAAAACGAAATCAGAAAGCATACGACACACGATTTACGTGGTTCACTAACACATTGTGTGTTAGCTAGTCCACGGGTAGGAGACAGTTACAGACCAGGTCCAGAACCCGAACCCAAATAGCATTGAACACGTACATTGTGGGCGGGGCGTTGCTCCCACACCCCCCACCGGGGCGTTGCCCCTGAACCCGACTCGCTGATCGCGCAGGGAAACCCCCAACTATTCCAGTCTTAGTGGTTGATAGTCCGATTCAAGTCACATCAACATGAGGAGTGAGAAGTGAGAGGTGAGAGGTTTGGGCCGAGGCCGAGGATCAGTTGGGAGGAGGGGTGATTTATTATATGTGGGCTATGTACATTAATTCAGTTGTTTGGTTTGGTGATCGAATTTCGAATTCGGTCGAGAGGACTCTAGTTTCTGAAGTATGCCTTCGGAATTTATGTCTTCTCCGTCGAACTCTAGTAAGTGAAACTATGATCCCAATGTATCCCTTCCGAATTTCGAACCAACAACATTATTTGTGTTTCGGTTTTGACAACCTTGCTAGTTAGTAAACTGCCGAGTTAACACGGCGGAGAGAGTGGTATGGTATGATGATGGTGCTGCTGAGAGAACTGAAGCAAAGCAAGCTCTCAGGCGCAGAGAGAGAGACAGACAGACAGACACATACACAGTTGTAGAGAGAAAAAGGAACAAAGCCACCCTCTTCCCTCCCATTCCCATATCTTTTCCATTAATGCACTCTCTCTCTCTCTCTCTCTTCAGTCACCCCCTTTTTACAGGGAAAAAAACCCCAAAGAAAACAGAGTAATAATTAACAGTCCAAGCGAAGCAGCCCCAAGTTCTGCTCTGTTATCTCTCTCTCTACCTCACAATAATCCCCTTTCCATTTCCCTTTTCTGTTCTGGACTCCATTAATAAGGTCCTTAATTAGCCGAATAATAACCCACCTGGCGTCACTACAATTTGGACTCAATAATCCCCTTTCCATTCCCCTGTTTTTGCTCTGCCCTCTGTTTTTCGGTTTTTGTTGGTTTATCTATTTATACTTGCGAGTAAATACACAGCATCGCAGAGCAGACACAAACAAGGAAAGGAGCAAAGGGTCTCTCGAGATTGGCGTCTTCGAGGCAAAGACCTCTCAAAAAGGAACCCCTCCTTTCTCCGCCTTCCCTCCAATTCCCTTTCTCTAAACTCGGGGCATTCAGAATTCAGACACAGAGAGAAAGAGAGCGAAAAAACAAAATAAAAAACCCCACAACAACTCTTTCTTTCCCTGTGATGGAGGAGAGAGGAGGCTCTCTTAGAGGAGAGTGAGCCTGCCTAAGCCTCAAACGCCCATACTAGAAGAACACAATCCAGAGGTCTCCAGATATTCTTCTTTACCCACCAGCAATAACAAACCTTTGCTCCTCTCTACCATTTTTCCCCCTTCCTCTTTCCATCTTTCAACACCAAAATCCCAGAAAGAGTAGCCAGCCAAGTTTCTGGGTTTTCATTATTTGTTGTTGTAGTAATTTGTAGGGTAGTATAACTATGGCTCTGTCAATCCACCATAGCAATCATAATGAGGTGTTGTTCAATAAGAACCAACAACAGATGGACTCCAGCAAGTACGTTCGCTACACTCCGGAGCAAGTAGATGCGCTGGAGAGGGTCTATGCTGAATGCCCCAAGCCCAGTTCTTTGAGGAGGCAGCAGCTCATTCGGGAGTGCCCTATTCTTTCCAACATCGAGCCCAGACAGATCAAAGTCTGGTTTCAGAACCGAAGGTTGATAAAAGAATGTAGCTTTTGGAAGTTATTAGCCGTTTTCTTTGTCAATCTCTCTTCGGTCTCCATTTCCCCCCTTTTCTGCCATATCTTTTCCGGGTCTTATGGGTTTACGCTATCTCCTGCAATTTCCATTCCCTTTTGCTTTCTTTTTGTGTTTTCCCTCCCGGGAGAACTGGGTTTCGTTCAAGAAAGTCCGCTGCTTTTGTGTGTTTCATTGGGTTTTCTCTTAATACCTTCGTGCTGTGGAAGCCCTTGCTCTGTTTCCTTTTATTCTGAAGTGTCAATTGTTCTTTAGCTTGATTGTGTAATACAGGTGGGAAATTTGTTGTGACCCTGCCCTATTATTTTCACAGATAAAGCGGAATGATTTTAACCAGTTATCAGACATTCCGCTGCACTAGACCTCTTGAAAGTGAAGTTTTACCATCTATACGACTTTCACTTATTTCCTTTTCCCTGTGCTCTTTCACCCACACCTTTCAAAATCACAATGAGTGCCTTTCTGGGAGAAATTAATTCCCTGATATCGACATCAATACCCTTATCTTCCCTTTGTTTTACTCTCTTCCTTTCCTGTTCTTAATTTTTCCATTGGGGTCTTGCGTGGTCACTGGTCAGTGCATTGAGGTGATTATTATTGTTAAACAGATGTCGCGAGAAGCAAAGGAAAGAAGCATCCCGTCTTCAGACGGTGAACAGAAAGCTGACAGCAATAAACAAGCTGTTGATGGAAGAGAATGACCGTCTGCAGAAGCAGGTCTCTCACTTGGTGTATGAGAATGGTTTCATGCGCTCACAGCTCCACAGTGTAGGGGACTTTAACTCATGACTCTTCTCTATTAGCAGTGTTAGTTTTTATTGTAGCTGAGTGCTGTATTTTCATTTATTACTACACATTCATTAATTCTTTTTGGTCTTTTGGATCGTTGAACAGGCTTCGGCAACGGCCACAGACAACAGCTGCGAGTCTGTGGTCATAAGCGGTCAGCAGCAACAGCAGCAGCAAAACCAATCAAGTCAGCATCCGCAAATGGATGCTAACAACCCAGCTGGGTAAACATTTTCACCTCTGACCTGCTACAACAGTTTATCTGACTGAATTGATTCTCTCGAAATGAGTTTAACGTTGTTGTACAATGTGGTTTCTACGTTTGTGTAGTCTTCTCGCAATAGCTGAGGAGGCCCTCGCAGAGTTCTTGTCCAAAGCTACAGGAACTTCTGTCAACTGGGTTCAGATGATTGGGATGAAGGTGGCAACTTTATGCTTTTGCTAACTCTCTAATATTTGATTAATTAATCAATTTGTGCTGATTTGATTTCGTTATATTGTTATATATGTGTAGCCTGGTCCGGATTCTATTGGCATCGTAGCTGTTTCCCGCAATGGTAGTGGAGTAGCAGCACGAGCCTGTGGCCTCGTGAGTCTTGAACCCATGAAGGTGTGTGCATTTTTTTCTTACACTGCTTCAAATGTGGCAGCATTATCTTAAGTTATTTTGTTTTGGATTTATGATGACTGTTAATTATTGTGGTTTTTGCAGGTCGCTGAAATCCTCAAAGATCGTTCATCTTGGTATCGCGACTGTCGATGCCTTGATATGTTGAGTGTGATTCCTGCTGCCAATGGAGGCACAATTGAGCTCATTTATATGCAGGTCTTTCTTTCATTTCCTCATCCTTGTATTTGAATATTTATATGGTTTATTTAGTATGATAGCTGACCTTGGTTGCTTGATTCTCATCTCTTTCATGTATGCTTATTCTACCAGACATATGCACCAACCACATTGGCTGCAGCAAGAGACTTTTGGACTCTGAGATACACCACCACAATGGACGATGGCAGTATTGTGGCAAGTCCAATGCACTTAATATCATTTGTCGAAGGAAAGAGGATGTCTTGTATCCCAATATGTGGAGTAACTTATTCTCACGCCCACTCCTTTTCTTTTATGCAGATTTGTGAGAGGTCCTTGACGGCTTCTACAGGTGGTCCAGCTGGGCCAACATCATCAGGCTTTGTTAGGGCTGAAATGCTTCCAAGTGGATATCTAATTCGACCTTGCGAGGGTGGAGGTTCCATGATACACATTGTTGACCATGTTGATTTGGATGTAAGAACCAAATTCTATTTAATTTGCTCTCTAATGAGTACTATTTTCTTCTTAATTCAATTTCAGTATCATTGTGAATAATTCATCTTGATTATTCTCCTAGGCTTGGAGTGTCCCTGAAGTTCTGAGGCCTCTATATGAATCTTGCAAAATTATTGCTCAGAAAATGACCCTTGCGGTAAGATTGAGCACGACCGCTGCTGTGTAATTATTGACATAAATCTCTTAATTTGTTGATTATATGTTTTGCTGCAGGCCTTGCGGCACATTCGACAAATAGCACAAGAGACTAGTGGAGAAATTCAGTATGGTGGAGGCCGCCAGCCTTCGGTGTTGAGGACATTCAGTCAGAGACTCTGCAGGTACTGATAAATCTATTGTGAAAACAAGTTCATCTGTCTTAATCTGTACCTTTAAAATTTTCTTGTTATAGTGCTCAACTAACATATCTTTGGGATTTTGATTCCAGGGGGTTCAATGATGCTGTCAATGGATTTGCAGACGATGGATGGTCCCTCCTGAATGGTGATGGTGTGGAGGATGTAACTATTGCCATTAACTCGTCTCCAAACAAATATCTTGGTTCACAGTATCATGGGTCGATATTCCCAACTTTTGGTGGAGGGGTGCTCTGTGCAAGGGCATCAATGTTGATTCAGGTAAATTGTTGTCGGTTGCTGTTTTACAATTTGACTTTGCAAACCGGAAAGGAATTCAACTGTTGTACCTCTTTACGTGGGTGCAGAATGTGCCTCCAGCTTTGCTTGTTCGGTTTCTAAGGGAACATCGTTCTGAGTGGGCTGATCATGGAGTTGATGCCTATTCTGCCGCATGTCTCAAGTCCAGTCCATATGCTGTTCCATGTGGCAGGGCTGGTGGTTTCCCTAGTAGCCAAGTCATCTTGCCTCTTGCTCGTACAGTGGAGCACGAAGAGGTGAGGCTTGGAATACATGGATTCACTTAATACTATTGAACTTATCATTAAGGCTTCGGATTTAAAATTTTCCTTACAACTGCAGTTCTTGGAGGTGGTCCGTTTGGAGGGTCAGGCCTTCTCGCCTGAGGAGATGGCTCTAGCACGGGATATGTACCTGTTGCAGGTTATTTCACTACTCAGTTTCATTTGAATTCCATCCCTGACAAAATCACCCCAAGTTATTGAGTTTTTTGGAATTATATCTGCAGTTATGTAGTGGGGTTGACGAAAATGCTGTTAGCGCCTGTGCTCAACTTGTTTTTGCCCCTATCGACGAATCATTTGCTGATGATGCTCCTCTTCTTGCATCTGGCTTTCGTGTCATCCCACTGGATGGTAAAACGGTAAGCCTACATTGATTAAATTCTTTTGTGCCATGATGTCAACTTCAAGTCCTAATCATTTGTTTGTAATATATAGGATGGGCCTGCTTCAAGTCGTACTTTAGATTTGGCATCTACCCTTGAAGTTGGGGCAGGAGGGGGTACTCGTCCGGCCACTGAGTCTGACTCAAACAGTTACAATCTGAGATCAGTCCTCACAATTGCATTCCAGTTTAGCTTTGAGAATCATTTGCGTGATGATGTGGCGGCCATGGCTAGGCAGTACGTGCGCAGTGTTGTTGCCTCTGTTCAGAGGGTTGCAATGGCAATTGCACCTTCTTCTGGCCTAGGTTCTCAAGTTGGTGGCAAATCATTCCCTGGCTCCCCCGAGGCTCTCACTTTGGCTCGCTGGATCTATAGGAGTTACAGGTGTGTTGGTTATATTACTTTCCACATTACGTCTTACCTCATTTAGAGTTCTAAGGTGCAGAATTTTAACTGGTGCTGACTGTTGAAAAGGGTGCATACTGGAGGTGACCTCTTCCAAATGGAATCTCAAGCCGGGGATGCTTTGCTGAAGCAGCTGTGGCAACACTCTGATTCGATCATGTGCTGCTCCTTGACAAGCAATGTAAGTAATGCCTTTCCATGGAAAGGTTAATCTTCTTTGTAATGTTTCGTTTTATATTTATGCTGGTTGTATTCTGATGGAGTTGCTGCACCTGTATTGCCAAATTTCAGGCATCACCTGTTTTCACCTTTGCAAACCAAGCTGGGCTGGACATGCTGGAAACAACATTAGTGGCGCTTCAGGACATTATGCTGGATAAGATCCTCGATGAAGCTGGGCGGAAGGTTCTGTGCTCTGAGTTCTCTAAGATCATGCAAGAGGTAAGTTGACCGTTATGTTTCTAGACTTAATTAATCATATTACAATCTGCATTGAAATGCAAATATGAATTCTTGTTGACTCGAGATTGTCGGTTACACTGGACAGGGTTTTGCATATCTGCCAGCAGGGATATGTGTGTCGAGCATGGGGAGACCGGTGGCCTACGAGCAGGCGATTGCATGGAAAGTACTGAACGACGATGATTCCCATCACTGCCTGGCTTTCATGTTCGTCAACTGGTCCTTCATGTGAGATATATATCTCTATGTACCCGAAGTTATCTAAGTATTATTATTAGGGCAGTTATTCTGTGTGGAAGATGCACACTTTTGTGAAGTAAAAAAACAGGTAATCTAGGTATTATGGATGCTGTTGGTTATTAGGGATGGATGTCGGCCATTCTGTGAATGATGTTGAATATTAATGGAGACTGGTTGGTTTGGTTGCCATCCTCTTTTGTTTTGAAAGTGGAATGCTTTTATTGAGATGTTTAGTAGGACTTGTGGTTTGGTGTATGGGTGGTGGGATGGGGATTTGGGTTCATCAACCTTGTGATTAGGTGGTGTATGGTAAGATCAGAGCAGGTACCAATGGTCTCAACCTGAACCTGTGACCCAACTGTCTTGCTGACATAGATGGATGGAATTGGGAGGAGCCCCATGTCATGTGATGGTGGACATGCATGTGCATATACCATACCATAAATACATATGCCCTAGTAGCCTAAGTGGCAGCAGCACGATATATAACAGAAAGAGACGGCATTCATGTTCTTACTGTACTGTAAGCAACTAGAAATGTAGAGTCCCAAGTCTGGTGTGTAGGGTTTCGCAGCAAGTGTTAAGTGGTTTGGTTTTAAATGGAGTGATGATCAATTTTAAACAAGCGTATACCCTTTTGAAGCGTGTTTCATGATTGATATGATAGAGAACATAGATGTCCAAAGTCCATTTCCTTTCTCTTATTAATTAACCAATTAGGATACATATACATGTGTGTTCTGGTAAAAGGGCGTTCCTCCGAGCCCAGAAAGGTGCATGCGAGAAGCGCCACCACACTGTATGTATAGTATAGTATATTAGTACGCCATTTCCAAGCCTCGTGTCCCTCTCCCCACACCCTTTTTCCTGTATAAAGAAAGGAGGGGAAAGAAAGTAAAGCACTTCTACTACTACTGTACCGGCGTGCAGCAGCTAGCAACGCCAACGGCAGAGAGAGATATCACAATCCATGCCCATTCCCCTTCCCCTTCCTCTCTTTCTTTCGTGGGTAAGCTGCTTTTCTGTCCGTCTTAAAATATCATTACAACCCAAAATTTCTCTTCTTCTCATGCTTCCACTTTACTCTCTCTCTCTCTCTCTCTCTCTTATTAAAAGGGAAGAAAGAAAGAAAGAAAGAGCCCTTTTCCCCTTTCCTTTTCCTGTTGTGGCTTGGGTTGCCCAAGACAAGAGTGACAAGGAAGGAAGGAAGGATCCGGGTCGCGTGATGATCTGCTCTGCTCTGCTTTTTTGGGTGGCCTTTTTTCTTTGCTCCATCAGATCCCCTTTTTTAATGCAACTGCCGCATTCCTGCTACCTAGCTAGCTGCTGCTGCACTGTTCCTTTTTCCCAATTGGCAAATATATATATAAAATGCAGTCCTAGTAATAGTAGCAGTCACAGCCAGTAATCTATTTTGTTTCTTTCTGTGTCATTTGCTTAGTGTTGTGTAACATCGTGTAACGTACATACAGACTACACGAGAGTGAGAGTGAGAGTGAGAGAGTAGCAAGTAATAAGAAAGCATTAAGTAAGCAAGGCAGGAGAAAGAAAAGATTTAGTAGCATCTAACTCGGGTTAATACACTATCATATCTGCCTATGTGCCTGCCATCCCACAATGAATGGTCGATTCTGCTGTATTATTACTAGCTACCTCTATGACTATTATGCAACAGGGTTTGACCCAATTCACCTTTTTTTAAAAAAAAAAAAAGTTTTTTAACCTTTCCAAGAAGCATTTAATTTTCCCTTTCCATCATCCTAATGCTGCATCCTGAAAACCAGAGTGTACTTAGAAGCTCTTTACAAAGAGCTCTTGTCTTGTCTGTTTCCCGTTCAAAGTTAATAATCTCTGTCTCACTCACTCTGTATCTGTTGCATTGGTCAGGCAGGCACAGAGGCTGGCTGGGGTTTCTTTTAATACTTTTTTGGACTGCAGCGTTTGGGTTTTGGCTGCATATGCTCTTTCGTTTTCCTACCTACAGCTACAGGGTAGAAGAACCAGAGGTTTCATGATTGCTTGCTTGCTGCAGCTGAACTCTGATTTGGGGGAGGGAGAGGGGATTTCATTCATGCAATAACAAGGAACAGAGCATTGGGCTTTGTGTTGGACTTGGACTTCACCTCTCTCTCTCTCTTTCTTCTGTTATACTTACTACCACTGCAAGGAAATTGGAACCAGAAGTTTGCATTGCAATATTGCAGACTAAGACTAACAAAGGTTGAATTTTACAAACGTCGACGGACCGCCACTTGGAAATTGAGTGGACGTCTGGTTTTCGCCATTTCCTCCTTCCTGACCTGAGTGTTGTCATGATTTGTTTTGGCCGCACGAAATTCTGAGCCCAACGAACGCCATGTGCTGTGGACTTTGAAGGGCTCGATGCATTGCATTTGCATATGATTCCTTTCTTTCTTTCTGGCCGGCCCAGGTTTATAAGTGGTCGCCATTACTGCGTGCTTTCGGGCGACGAGGGAACGCAACACGACCAACTTGGAATTGTGATAGGAAAAGAGATAGAGAAAAGGGTTACATTTATTGTTGCCTTTTCTTGGAGAGGGAACAGGTAAACCATAAAATTAGGAGAAAGGGGTAAAAGAAACATAAACAAGTTAATAATAATAGGACTCACTGACTCACTCACACAGTGACACTATGACCATTTATTTTTCATCCACTCGGTTTCTTTTTCACTTTTGTATTTTTTTACCTAAGGTTCCTTTCAGTTCACTTCTTTTGGGATTGGTAATTTTAGAGGAGAAAAATACCCAATCTATCTAATTTATTTCAAAATAATGCAGGCTTCTGTCTTCTAGAGGAAGAAAAATATATATCCACTCTCGTTTAATTCGAATGCACTCATGGCTAGTCTACACACAAGTCGAAGAATATTGACCCAAAAAAATTATGTATTATTTAGGTCAATGAATCCCTCTTGAAAATGGCAAAGGATTTTTTGAAATTGACACATGCATAGATTAGTTCAAGATAGATTGGCTATTAACTTATTATTATTATTATTATGAATGCTTTTACTTTTCCCAAAGAAGGTTCTATTTTCCTATTTAAATATCCTTTTTTGTGGTGATGATGAAGCATAAAAGAAAAATATTTCACATAAATTGGCCATCCAAATATGCTATCAAGTAGGCTAACTTGCCAAGTAAAGTAAAGCGTTAACTTGCCAATTATGTCTGACTGGGCTTTTGATATAAAGCCCAAACCAGGTACTGGGCCTTGACCTGGCAGTAAGATCCGCTTAGTTCAGTTTTTGGTTTAGGCCTACAGACATGAGAAAATCCCACAACAATTACAAAGCCTAGGTTTAAGCCTGGCTTCATTAAAGGAGCTTAGGGTGGGCCATTTAGGCATTCTGCATCATCATTCATAAATAGGTCAAGGAACTTTAATGGGTCTATCAGGCCCAATAAGTTGTTCTAATCCAAGGAACTAGTAAGTAGGTGAGCAAATTCATGGCCCAGCCCATTAGTTTGCCTTTCGTCTTGCTTTTCGAAGTAGAGAAAGAGTGCAGGGAGACAAGGGATAGGTAGCGATGGAGGAGCCAACTGAGGAGAAGGAATCCATAGCTGAGGCTTCCAAGGAGGTTTCTCGGGAGTTCAGAACCCTAGTCAATGCCGATAATTTGGATACCCTCAAGCAATTGCAGCATCTCATGTACGTTTCAAGCTCTCTGTGCCCCACTCTCTATCTATCTGATCTATGTCGATTGTTGAATCTGTCTTGCTAATCACTGATCACCGGAATGCTATCTCCCGGCGCCGGTGAATAATATAGGCTGCGTCCTTTTATTACGAATGATCGTCTCAATTTGTAAATGTTCCTTGCCAGAATCAGAATCAATCCTTCGAAACGGGAATCGACTGTAAATGTTAAAATGATATTCGTACTCCTTTGATGAAATTGGATTTGTTTGGTCACATATTGCACGCTCAAATGCCTACTATGGAGCTCGTTGTACTCGAGCCCTGCTACGGCTGTAAGGGGACTAGATACTATAACAACACCCCTTGTGTTGTTATTCTAACAACACTAGCCTCCAACCAATAGGAAGCTAGGATTGTGATGACTTTTTATTAGATGAGTTGACCTAGTGTAAAATCAAAGTAGGGGTATAATTGTCATTATGAAAAAATCTGTTTAAATAAAAAAAATAAAAATATTTTTTTATTTTCGGCCCTAAATTTTGGCCGCCGGAATTCTGCCACCGGTCGCCGGAAAATGGTCACCGGTCACCGGAATATGCTATTTTGTCATCGGAATATGCCACCTTCGCCGGAATATGCTCACCGCGGTCGGAATATGCTTACCAGCGTCGAAATCTAGTCATCGGGGACGGAATATGCTTATCGGCGTCGGAATCTGCTGACTGACGGTCACTGGAATTCGGTCAATTAACTTCGTTGACCGGTCGACGGTCTTCGTTGACCGGTCAACGACCACCGGATGTATGGTCTACATTGTGAGATTTATGGTTTAGTTTCTCATATTTTCGTATGCCTTTTGTGGTTTGCTTTATCGTGTTTGTGGTTTGCATTGAGAAGTTTCTGGTTTGCTTTATCGTGTTTGTGGTTTGCATTGAGAAGTTTCTGGTTTGCTTTATCGTGTTTGTGGTTTGCATTGAGAAGTTTCTGGCTTGCTTTCAAAAAATTTGTGGTTTGCATTGAGGGGTTTCTGGTTTGTTTTAATATATTTGTGGTCTGCATTATGACGTTTATGGTTTGCTTTTTTGTGGTTTGATTTACTGTGTTTGTGGTTTGCATTAAGAGGTTTCTGGTGTGCTTCGCAAATGTTGTGGTTTGCTTTGTGAGGTTTGTGGTTTGTTTTAGGAGATTTGTGGTATGCATTCGGAGATTTCTGGTTTGCTTTATTGTGTTTCTGGTTAAGAAGTTTATGGTGTGCTTTCGAAAATTTTATGGTTTGATTTGTGGGGTTTCCGGTTTGTTTTAATATATTTTTGGTCTGCATTAGGAGGTTTGTGGTTTGCTTTACCGTGTTTGTAGTTTGCATTATGAGGTTTCTGGTGTGCTTTCGGAATATTTGTGGTATGCTTTGTGGGGTTTTTGGTTTGTTTTATGGGATTTGTGGTATGGAATGAGAGGTTTCTGGTACTCTTTTTGTAGATTGTTGTGCCGTGTTTGTGGATAGCAGGTTTATGAGTGCATTATAAGTAACAACATCTCGTCCAAATCCAAAAAGTTTGCATCTCCTTGTAGACGTCTAAAGCCTCCTCACCTTACCAAGGTTAGCATAGATCGAGAGCAATATTTTCACAATTCTTTGACAAAAATCATCACAGTTAACTTTTACAAATTAGAGGTGCAATTCTTGTTCAGCTTACACCACTACCTGATTGCATATTGAATTATTATTTATCTCTCTCATAAACTAATGTAATTAATAATTATATTAATATTATAATAATGAGGGTAAAAGCAAATAGAGTTCTCCACTAATAAAAGCAAAACCGTCCTTATCAAAGAAGCATATCTCCTTCTTCCTTTCTCATCGGAATCCTCTAGATCCGTCTCTTCACATTCTTTGTCTAGGAGCATCACTCCGCCCCCGTTTCGGTTTCTCCGCTCACCCCTTCCACCGCTGCAATTAGCAATCCCTCCCTCCATAGAACACCGATTGCTTGGTGTTCACCGCCACGGGGACGATCCGGTCGGTGAGCTCGGCGAAGAGCACGCTGAACCGCAGGAGGAACGGCTCCCTGCAGGTGGTCCCCTCGGGGAAGATCACCAGGTCGCCTTCCTCGAGCAGGCGCATGATGTCCGCTGCGTCCCTATCACGCTCCCTCGACAACGCCACGACCTTGATGGACGATATGATCTCCGTGAACTTGCTGATGTTGTAGGTGACGCAGCTGATCTTCCGGCCGAGCGCGACGGCGGTGACGATCGGGTCGAGGACGGTGCGGTGGTTGCAGACGAAGAGGACGCCCAGCTGGCTCTTTCTGGGCGGCGGCGAGTGTGAAGGAGACGGGACCTATCAGAGCAAACGGGAAAATGCTTAGGGTTAATTTTTATTTATTATTTTTATTGTTGATTTACCCTTTTACCCTTAATGAATCCTATTGTTATTATAACAACACTTAAGGTGTTGTTATACTATCCGCACCCGACTGTAAGAGCTGCCTGTTTTATTTAGGGTTGTATTTGAATTTGCTACTCTTAAAATTAAGGACTGCTAGCCTAGGACCTCAACTGAAGAGGCAAATCTTACTGCAGGCTGTTACTTGATATCCCATTTGCAAGATTGGTTTTAGTTTGGCCAGACTTTCTCTGCTGAAAATTCGGTTGCCTCTGTAGATTCGATTAAAGGCAAACTGACTTACATTTTATTGATTGAGAAAACCACAAAATATATACAGTCCCAAGCTTTTGCTAAGCTGTAAACTCGCCTCTCAAACCTCCATCCACTAACCCACGTCCTGAAAATCAGCAACCCCTCTAACCACTATTGACCCCTGCTGTAGAACTGCAACTAAATGACTCCAAACAAATCTATCCTTTAAATCCAGCTCTAAGAAACCACTAAACGACTCAGCAGCAACTTAATATCTTGACTCAAAATGACACACAATCCTAAGGACACTAACTTATTTCAACAATGCCTCCCCTAAACTGAAATCTGCTAAGGCTTCAGTTTATTTCATTACTTCAACTCCTCTGCAATCCTGCCACTTGATCTTTGGATTTCAGTATGCTTAATCTGCACCATTAATCCACTTTCAGCCACCAAATCTTGTGAAAGTGAAGCCCCCCCTTACACATGCGATTAGTTCCCTCCACTCTCACAGTCACCAATCAAATCCCCTTTCTCAAGATTCAATCTTTTTGAATGCTCATCCACTTCTTTACCTCTACTAGTTAGCTTTGACTTCAGTTTGAATCACCTGAGCATCAAGCAAAGTCTTCATCGCAATCTATTCTGTATCACTTTCTTTGATTTTTCCCTTCAATTTGAGACTGCAATTATGACCTTTCAGCATGGACTTTTACCTCAATGGCAAGCATTGCAGTTTTCAGCGCCTTCCCCTCTTCTATTATCCATCTCAACAACACTCCTTCTTTCAACTTCAAAATTTCCTTCTCTAACTTTGATGTCTCTTTCAGCCGAAAGGAGTTGAGATTCCAAAATTTTGTACCCTTTCTGCACTCATTTTTCAACCAGGAGAACAAAGAACACCATTCCAGAAATTATAACATGCACCATATTATACACATCACTGCAGCCATCCAAAACAAGCTTATTGACAAAACCAGCTCTCCAAAAGAAACCACCAGCCACCGCCATCTTGCAAGTTCAAAGCCAGCACTCCAGCAACTCCAAAAGACCATAATCCCATCCATAAAAGCACAATTAGCATGAAAGCATATGCTGCCCTAATGACTCCAGGAGGACTCCACACCATCTTTACCGACTTCTGTAGCAGCAGCGACTTCACTTACATTTGATGCTAGCCTCCAATGAGATTGGCTTCAGTTCAACTTCACTTTCTTCTATCTTCTTCCTGACAAGGCATGCTCAACTGTTTTCATTCTGGTTTCTTCACTGTACTCTCTAGACCTGTCCTTTCAGATCTCTCCTTCTATGTCATCTGCCAACAAGCGAGAACTGCAACTCGAACAGAGATTTGCAGGTTCTCAAATTGTTACTTGTCGCATAACATAGCGACCGAGTACTTCTAAACTAGCCATTCGCCCACCGAATAAGAACCAGCCACTCTGCTGCCTACTCGTCGAATGACATTGAAACCAAACTTGCTTCACTCGCAGATTACACCACCTACTTCACTCGTAGGTATGCCTAGCTGACACTAATACCCAACCTGCTTCACTCACAGGTTACACTACCTACTTCACTCGTAGGTATGTCTAGCTGACATTTCCTTAAACAGTTCCCCGAGCAACCTTGTACAACCATGAATTTCATTAATCCATTCATCATTCCTCATCATCTACTTCTCTGAAAGTCTTCAATTGAACTAATGCTACAATGCCAATCACAACCTTCATGGTGTAACTTAGCAGCATCAAGAGTTATGCTTTCCCCATCATGTTTATTCTTAGAGTTGCAGCCTTCCCTGAACTGAAGTCTACTGAACCAAAGCTTCAGTTCAGCGTATCAACTTCACTTTTACTCTTCTCCTTCCCAGCAAGTTTCTCCATTGACTCCTCTACCAACCTAATCTTCTTACTCTTCTCCTCGGTTTCTCTTACACCAAGAACCTCAACTGTCTTCTCCAATTCCCTCATTCTCTTCTTGTTCTCTGCCTTTTGTTTATTCAACTCCGGTTTCACCTCATTGTCTTCCAGCACCTTTCCTCAGTACTCAGTAGTATAAACCGCACCTTGGTTCATCGACGTAATCAGGTCGTGATAGAGCCTCGAGCCCACAATCTCCAGCTCCCCGGCTCGAGCAGCTCTGAAATCCAGCGTGTTCTTGGTCTTTTCCTACTGCTCAAGCTCGCTTGACAAAACCAGACATGGTACATACTACAAAACTGAACCAGAGCAGTCTGCAACTTCAGCTGGAAACCTTTTACCAACATGACATATGGCTCACCATCACTCATCATCGACTCAATAGGACTTAGTACACTTGCAGACATAGATCTCAAAGATCCACTCACTCCATCATAGAATAAGCACTCTGACTTCCTTCCAAACCTTTGGTTTCTTTTTCTTCAAACATAAATGACAAAACCACTCATGTACAGGGACTGCGCTTATCCTAGGACTGATGCAAGACAAGTGAAATGGCTGCCTTAAAAAACATCACAAAGCAACATCCTTTTTGTGGAACCCGAACGAGAACAAACCCTGCACCGCCTACAAGCCGTGCCACCAATGCATATCCCAGAAACAGAAGTATGTATCATCTGTCATTTCTCTACCCATCCACACTGAATCGAGCTCCACATTCAATCATGATGGTGACGAAGAGGAACTATCATTCATACTAAAAACTCATTCAATAACGAGAAAGGTTCTTCCGCCTTCTTACCTTTCTTATATTGTAGACAAGCATAGGCGTACTTAGTAGGCAGAAGTGAAGGAAGAGGTGAGACAACCCCAGTTTTTGATTCTCCCACGTGGAATCAAAACTGTACAGGCTTTGATTCTCTGAGTTCATTCATGATGAAGCTTCATCGTAATAGGCAACCAGCCCCGTCAATTCCATCAATCACCAATTCTGGGCTCTCACACTATGATGGCGGTAACTGACTTCTTTGACTCGTTTCTTTTTGGTATCAACGATCAATTACAATATGGATTTGCAGAGTTCAGCGTCACTTGGCGTCGACCCATGTGGCCACCACAACGATTATGCTCGGCTCCCTGATTCTGCTACCGGCGGCAAACCTCGGGGCTCGAACCGTCTTCGTGTTCGGCGACAGGAGCAAGGTGGGGTTGGCTGATCAATTCTTCTCCCTCTTGCTCCGCTTCATGGTGGCCTTCTTGATCATGGTGCAGCTAATCTGGTACTACAACCACGCGAGTTTTCTCATCAACGTCCCCTTTTTACTCGCTTACTTTACCAAAATCCCTTTACAGTTTATACAATAGGCGGGCGGCGGCCAAGGCGGCCACCGCCACCGAAACAAAAAATCACTCTAGAAAATCTCAATCGCACAAAATCACGGAGATACACTTGGTTACAGTTTACCTAGGCTCTGATACCACAATGTAGATTCGATTAAAGGCAAACTGTCTTACATTTTATTGATTGAGAAAAACACAAAATATATACAGTCCCAAGCTTTTGCTAAGCTGTAAACTCGCCTCTCAAACCTCCATCCACTAACCCACGTCCTGAAAATCAGCAACCCCTCTAACCACTATTGACGGGACGAGATACGGTGACAACCCGCTTCATAGCCCTTGGATACACTCTCTCTCCTGTCTCTTTCTTCTTTTTTAAATTAATGGTTAAGATTAAAGGAAGGATATTTTTGGAAGGGTAAAAATTTACCACACCCAATCATTCACCCTACCATATAAAAAGAACAAAAACCCTAACTTCTCCATCCTCCCTCTCTCTCCTCCCTCTCTCCCGTAGACATCACCATCTCTCCTCCCCCTCTCTCCGCCGCCACAGCCCTCCCACCACCGCGCCTGCTGTCCCCGCCGCTCCTGCCGCGCCGCTGTCCTCCCCTGCCGCCACCATTTTTATGCCGCCGCCGCGAGGTCAAGACTCTTCCCTGCCTCCCTCTTTCCTCATCCCTATTTTTTTTCCAGATCTGATAGTCTCTACTGGTACCAATACCACTGGTAGCACTATTGGTACCAATACCACTAGTAGCACTATTGGTACGCTACCACTACTCACTGGTACCAATACCAGTGGCTCCCCTATCATCTGGTACCACTATCATCTGTTTTTTTTTTGTTATTCTCTACTGGTACCGCTACCAATACTAGTGGTAGCGCTACCAGTGTTAGTAGCGTTGTGTTATTCTCTACTGGTAGCGTTGTACTGGTAGCATACCACTAGTACTGGTACATTTTTTACTGGTACCGCTTTTTACGTACTGGTAGCGTATCACTAGCACTGGTATATTAATTACCAGTAGACTAATAGATTGGTACACTTTTTAACGTATTGGTACATTTTTTCAGGTTGCCGGAGGGAGTCTGCCGGAGAGAATTCGCCGGAGAAAAAGTTTGTCGGTCGATGCGGAGTGGCTGCTGGAGAAAGGAAGAGAGAGAGATAGAGATATTAATGTATAGGATTTAAATTTCAGTAAAAAATTGTATTTAATATGGGTTTTAATTCCCAATATAATTAATACAAAAGAGGTAATTAATATATTTGTTTTTTCATACCCAAAATATCTTTGGTTGTGAATCTGACAACCCCCTTAGGGGTTGTCACCGTATCCCGTCCCACTATTGACCCCTGCTGTAGAACTACAACTAAATGACTCCAAACAAATCTATCCTTTAAATCCAGCTCTAAGAAACCACTAAACGACTCGGCAGCAACTTAATATCTTGACTCAAAATGACACACAATCCTAAGGACACTAACTTATTTCAACAGCCTCTGATTTGTTTCCTTATTGCTCATTGTGTTTCCCTGTTCGTTGCAGACTGGGAAGGTTGCAGGACAGCAATGCAGTCTTGTCCCATTTTAACGACTATTCAGAAAATTGCTTCACCGAGGTTTCTGGGGATTTTTACAAGAACACTCGCCTGCTCAAGTCTATGAAGTCGGATCTCGATTACATATTTCTAAGGCTAAGGTAAAGGCCAGTTAGCGTTTCTTCTTGATCCCTGTTTATCTATTTCTCGCAAGTGATCCCAGCAGCAGAATGGTGACTATGTTCTGCTAATTGAGTTGGTTTCATGAAAGCTTCTCTGCAGCATGAAATGTCTCATGTAAAACTTTGTTGCAACGCAAAGTCCCATTTTCCTCTTTTAATCCACATTGGATTCTGAGGTTCCCTTGTTCCTTGCTTTGGCAGAACTATGAAATCGAAAATCTCAGCCGTCTATCCTGATGCATTCACTGACGAATCAGCAAAACAGGTAGAGGACCGAAGGCCGGATCTTGAAGCACCTATGGAACTCTAGTATGTTGGTGCACTGTGCTTATTGTTGCATCCCTGTCCTGGGTCTAGAGGGCACGGCAGTGCCATTTTTGGTATCTGCTGCGAAGTGTATCTAGGCAGTAGGCAGGCGGGAGTTCAGAAAAAGGGTAGCAAAGGATGCATCTTTCCAGTGGAATCTTTGGACTTTTGTCAGTCCAGTCCACTCCAGGCAAAAGGGTTTTGTTATTCTCTACTTTCTTTCTGTTTTGTGTCAGTTACAGACCCGGGAGATCTCTCTCTCTCGCCTCCATCTGATCTGTTGTGGTAAATCAAAGCTTTTCTTTTTTGTATGTACTTTCTTCCCAAAACCTTCCTTTTGTTTCTCTGGTAAAAAAGAGAAACCCTGCCGTTCCCCGTTCCAATTACTGGCCCTCGTCAGTCGCGTGTACTCTCTTCCTCTCTCATGCAATTCAGCCCTGAGGCCTGCCTGAACCTTCTAGCTCTCTGTCTCTCTCTCTCTGCCTGTGTTCTCTTCCTCATGCAAAAAGCACATTATATATAGATGATCAAGAACCAATCGATCTCTCACTGAACCACTGCCACGGCAAAGGAAACCAGAGTTTGATTGATTCTTGAGCCTGCCTTGATCACTAGAAAATGGTGGGGAGTGGCGGTGGATCCTCAGCAAGAAGCGAGAGTGACAAGGAGAAGACTAAGCTGAGGGAGAGGCAGAGACGGGGGATCACCACCAAGATCTTCCACGGCCTCCGCAGACACGGCGGCTACCACCTCTCCCCCCGAGCCGATATCAATGAAGTCCTCCGGGAGCTGGCCAAGGAAGCTGGTTGGATCATCGAGCCCGACGGCACTACATACCGCTACAAGGTAAAAGCAATTATGACCTATCTAAACTCATGTCATTCTCTCTTCTCTTTCGTTTCCTGAACATCTCTGTTTTCCTGCACTGTTTCTCTGTTCTTGTGTAAAAAGCTCGTGAACCGCTGCCCAACTTGCGGCGCTGGTCCGAGCCAGGCGAGCACAACTGCGACTCCGACAACCAGCAGCACGTTGGTTGCCGGCGGAGGATCGGGATCTGGAGGAGACTGCTCCACCACAACTTCCCCGCGCCGGATAGACCCAAGCATGGCGTTGATCAATGGCGTCAACAGTGGCAGGGCAGTCATTGGTCGGGCACCGAATTCCGTCGGCTCTTCCTCTGGCGAGCAGCTGGACATCCCTCCTGCGTTCTACATGTACAACCATCCTGATCTCCTGCACCAACCGTCCATCCCCACCACCACCAACGCGGTGGCCGAAATCGGCATGCAAGTGAATGTACCATCAGTTCTCCATCACCAGGAGCTGTTGCAGCTGCAGGGGGCGTTTATGGAAGAAGCTATTGTGGCGGCGGCTGGTCCTGTTGAGTCATCACCGCGGCGTAATTGAGTAGCTAACCATTTAACACTAGAGGAGATCTTTACTATAATTATGCGCTTGACAGAACTTGGAAGCTGAGAATCATTTTCTGATTTCTGTTGTTGCACTTAGTTTAACTGTTCCTGTTATGCAATAGTAACAAAGTAGTATCAATGCTTGAGGCTAGATAGAGCTGCCGCAGTTTGAGTGAACCAAATCCAGCTACAATAGTTGAGGATCAGAAACTTTGGCACTGCTACATTGACTTGTTAATAGGTTGAGTTACTCAAATTATTGCCTGCAGATTGTCGTCTGTAAGCACAAAGAAACTTGAATATCAGTACTGCGTTCATACAGATGACCAAAGGAGCGGACTCCATCTACCATCTTCATTCTTCAGTCTACTTACAACACGACCAATCGTTCTCAAACTTCTATCATTGCAGTTCAACTCCATTAAAAAGGGAAATGTCTTTTCACAGCTTCTTTTGCTGAAGCCGAAATCTCGAAAGGAACACATTCATCAAAATCCCGGGATCTCTCCAGGCACTGGGGCTAACTCATTTTTGTTGAACTTCTCCTCTTCGTAGAATGATGCCCTGACTGTATTACCACCAAAATAACGGCCATCCAGATCTACCAATGCCTTCGTTGTTTCTTCTGATCTCTCAAACTGAATAAAGATCCGCACAGCCTCATGTCGAGGAAAGCTTGGTTCTGTGATCTCGAAAATGAGAACCTTTGTGACAGTCCCATACTTTGCACACTCTGAAGCAACTTCATCCTCCAGCTCGTCATCCACCTCTCCCGGCCCAACCTTGAACAAGCAGAGCAAAAATTGTCAATCACCATCACAAATCAACACGTACGGACACAGGTGCCATTAAAATCGTCCAAACAGGTTACATCAACAGGGACCCACTGAATGGATGGAAAAACAAAGTACGTAGAAGATGAAAGTGATAAACACGGCAACAGTCGTATAAACTTATTTCAACACCATGGTCACAGAACAATATCGGACCAACATAAGTAGCACAAAGTGTTGTTAGTATCCAAAGGTTCCCACCCCATACATCAGAATAGGGAGATCCACAGAACAGAACTCATCCTTGCAACATAACACTTTATCAAAGAACCAAGAACTTCCTACAAATTCAACTCCAGGCAATAAAAAGGTGATCCCCCCATGCGATTTTCTTTAATGTTCCGAATTCCCATTTTACAAAGCAAGAAGCTTGACTAACTGAAGAATGTAATAGATCCTGACAGATTATACAATGATTTCTAATAACAAATTGCGAGTTTCTGTGGTTGGATTACACTTTCAATAATATTTTCAGAGACTGAAGACGGCCGGAGTTAGAAGACAAATTCAGAATCAGTGACAGCAGAGGCAACAAGCTCCGGTTCCAAACTGTCCTAACACACCATTTTCCATCAGATACATTTGGTGTTCTTAGACATACATTTGACTCCAGAGCTTCAATCTTTATTGGTTAAAACATTGTAGATAAATGGCACCATGCATAATAATTCGAGACCATCAAAGCGAAGTCAGCACATACCATGTTCCGAAGCATTAAGACCCTAGTGGGAGGTCCGTTAAGATTAACACTCTTCACCTTCTTCTCTGACTGCTTCGTCTCACTGGCATTCACAATCACTCCACCTCGACGATCAGTCTTCTTTGCCATCAACGGAGTGGTAATTCCTTGCTCCTGCCTGCCAAGCCCTTGCCCTTCTTTCCAACCCATCTTAGCCATCATCCTCTGAGCAGCAGTCATTTGCCCACCTGCACCCACGCCTAACCCTACTGTTTCCGATTTCCCAATACTAAATCCGTCCCCGGTACTAGGTGGAGACGGCGACCTGGGCACGGCACCACTCATTGCCGCCCGTCTCCTCCAAGCTTCCTCGCCGGAAATGTTCTTCGCCTTGTCCCTATCCCTTTCTCTATCCCTCTCCCTCTCTTCCTTTTCCCTCCTCTCTCTCTCCTCATCCTCTAGTCTTCTCCTTTCCAGCTCCCTCAACCTCTCCGCCTCCAATGCCTTCCGCTTCTTCTCTCGCCTGTAATCTTCGTAATCGTTGGGCCTTGCAGGATCATACTCCTCAATGACCACGGACTGAACTCCCACGAGTGCCGGTTGCGCCATCTCCTCATGATGCAACGTCGGGATCACAGCCATAGCTGGCGACGGCGCCACGGTTACCTTGGGAGCAGAAGAGCTTTGCCTCAGTTTGCTCGCTGATTTAAGAACTGTCTGAGGCGCAAAGGCTGTGGAAGGTTTGCGCAGTGTTGGTGGCGCCATCAGAGTGGAGCTCGACCACGCCGCGGAAGCATTCGCACGGGTTTTTTCCTCTTCCGCCTTGGACGGCGGAGGAAGGTCTCCATACAATCCGCCGAACATCTAACCGCACAATCAATCAGTCAATCACCTTCTTGTCCCCACCCGAGAAAAGCCCTAACTACACCTCGTAAGAACGCCTCAGCTTCAATCTGAAGATCTCGATACAGCTTCCTCCCAGACAGATCCAGAACCCAGACCAGATTTCCTTCTTCAGCTCTTGCAATTTACAGAAATTAGGGATTTGAATACCCAAAATGGGATAAATGCTAAATGGGGAGAGGAGACGAACAGAACACAGAGAGGAACGAGGGCGGAAGTGTGACTTGTCCGTTGTCCGGTGAGGCGATGACGGTGACAATAAAGCTAATACCCAATTTAGGCCGATGGGAGTTTCAAATTTATTTGGGCCTATAACTAAACTCGGCCCAATGTAACTAAAACCCTATAACGCTCGCTGAGTTTTGTTTTCCTTCTTTCGTCGTCCACAGTCCAAAATCCCTACTCCCATTTCAGCAAACGACGGGAAAGAGCCGGCGGAGGGACGAGAAGATTCAGATCAGACGCAGGAGAGATGTTTCGAATCGCGAGAACGAAGACACTCGAATCTCTGGCACATCAATTCGTCCAAAGATGCGCAGTCAGCGGGACGGCGAAAGGTAAAGCGAAGCTGAAAGACGGGCCAAAGAAGAGGATGAAGGTATCTACCAAGAAGGGCGGGAAGGGAGCCGTCGATCCGGATCCTTCAGCCCGGCCGACGTCACGTCAGGACCAGGAGAAGTACAAGCTGTACGAGCAATGCATAAACGCGCCGACGCCGGTTCGGTATCTGAAGCCCAAGGACATGAAGCGGGAGGCCGAGCGTGAGAAGTTAGGGTTGGAGAGCAAAGATCGGAAGCGAGAGAAGGAGATTCTGAAGAAAGGCGGGAGGCAGGCCATGGGAGTCCCCGACGAGCCTTTGATGATGGGGACACCCGGATTCGACCTGATTTCGCTTGGATTGGTGGATGCCGATAAGATCCCCAAGTACGAGCTAACCGTGGAGGACGGGAGGCGGCTGGCGAAGGAGTACAGCAGGGTTTTGATGAGGAAGCACAGGGCGAGGCAGGCCGCGGAGACGAATCTGTTGAGGATGAAGAAGGAGGCGATCGAAGCATTGCCAGAGAAGTTGAAGCAGGCTGCTCTGGTACCAGACTTGACGCCGTTTCCTAAAGAGAGATTCATGGCGACATTGACACCTCCGATTGAGGGTTATATCGACAAGGTGAAGGAGGCTGCTATGAGGAGTTCTGGTGCCCAGAAGATTAGATAGAGCGCTGTTTTCTTCCCAACTCCCAAGGTGTGGCATGGTATTTTTCACCATTTCCTTTCCCCTTTTGTTGCCTGTAGTTTCCTGCGTTGAATTCTTGGCTGCATTTTGGTGATTGATAGATTCAAAGAGAATCGGCCTTGTAGTAGTATACTGGCTAGTCAGATAATGGATTGATGTGGCTTTGTTGCTTTACTACTTGAGAGTTACAGAAACATCACTTGTCAATAACATTCCATGTCGACATGCTTGAGCCAGGGTGCTTTGGCTAAGGATCGATAGTCTTTCACAGTTAGGTGATTGATAGATTCAAAGGGATTCGGCCTTGTAGTATACTGGCTATTCAGATTATGGATTGATGTGGCTTTGCTGCTTTACTACTTGAGAGTCACAGAAACATCAATTGTCTATAATATTCCATGTTGACATGCTTGAGCGAGGGTACTTTGCCTTAGGATCGGTAGTCTTTCGCTGTTCGTTAACAGGCGGCGATCGATGGTAAAGAACAGAATTATGAGACTGCAATTGTGTTGATCTGAAGGAGGTTATTGAGCACTGGTTTTGCATTCCTTGGTTCCAAGTCTTTGTTTTTTCTAGGAACCGCAGTTCGTGTAGTGCAACCATTATACTGTGGTGTATTTTCAGAAGTGCACTTGGGAAATACCTTTCTGTAAGCTTTTTCTAACTTCAGAGGATGAATGAGCCTCATCACTGTGTTATTGCTTACTTTCGTCATCTGATGATCAACTCCTTCAACCTGGGTTCAACTGCAGTTCAACAAGAGTTACACAAGGAGGTGGGCGACTCTGTATCGATGCAATGGCGACCGCACAAGCCTGGAGCACATGGATTTTGAAATCTCGGAAACCTATGCAATAATGGGTGTTGAAATCGCAGAAACCTAAAAATGGAGTCATGGATATTTTGGGGATTTTGTTTACAGGGCTTTGTATGGTTTGTCTTTGTATATTGTTTCTTGACTAAAACTGTGCCGGAACTGACAAAGGCTGCCGGCACCTCTTTGTACTACACACCTACCGAGTCCGAAGATGAAATGCAGCTCTGGTGTTCGTTATTGCTGTTTTAAGTGTTTATGCCAGCCACGATTAGAGATGGCAAAAAAAAAAACCCCTAATATTTTCACACAGAAGAAACTCAATATTTGGTTATTTCCCAAATGCAAGGTCAAATCAGATTACTTTTGAGACAAAATCATATCCAATTTTTGGTTTGAGTTTAAATTGGACTCACACTATATTCAATTATAATGCATTTTTGCTTTATTTTTGTTATGTAACAAAGAAAAAGATGAAAAATACTAACATTAAAGTGTAATTTGGTTAGAGACAATTAATGAAATGGTTGTTATTGTCTTTCACTTTGTACAATCATCTTGACAAGTAGCATATTTTGTACAAGCAATGACGACCACCAATAGATCCTTAGTCTTCGTTGCCATCTCCTTTCTGTCTCTCCTTATTCCGACCACCTCTCTCTATCCTTCGATCTTCGAACAACGATGGCTAAATTCACCATCTACGTCTCTGTGTGCTTTCTCTCGTTTGGTACCCAAAAAAAGTAATTCTCGAAAAAGTATGTACTAAGGTCTAAGATGGTACTATGAAGTCTAACTATAGTGATATAATGTTGGTATGACATTAGTAAGATATTTGAAGTTTTATGTTAGAGAAAAAGAATTGATGTCATCATACCACTTTTATAGTGATAATATCATATGATAGTATTATTTGTCTTGTCATAGTAGTAAGATGATATTATTAAGGGAAAAAGCCCAAAATAGAAATGTTTTTTTCTTTTGAAATCCAAAACACACATGTTTTACAAAAAATTTCCCAAAATACACATGTTTGTGCATCACTGCGGTCATCAACCGCAGTGAATGCATTCACCGCGATTGACGGCCGCAGTGAATGTCTGACGTAACACTGAAACTTCAAATGAACGTAACTTTGTGGAGCGATTTTTTTTAATCCGCATAACTTTTCAAGATCTTTCAATCTGTAACAAACCTTCATGCAAAAAAAATTTGTTTGCTACCCGAACGAGCAATTTTTTGATTTTTCCAAACTTCGGAAGGCCATAACATTTTGCTCCTCAATCCGAACGTCATAATTTTTTTTATTGCGCACAACTTTTTAAAAACTACAACTTTCTTACCATAGTGGTAAGACATGATATGACACTGATAAAATGATATTAAACACGTGTTTTTTAGTGAATAATTATTAAATTTGCTCAAAACATAACTGTTGGGCTCATAGTTAAGCGGTGTTGGGCCTAAGAGGTACGTGTAAGCCCACAAGGAGACAGAGGCTAAGCCCACAAGGAAGGGACCAAGTCAAAGAGCGAAACCCGAAGAGGCATGGGGAAAAGAGACACCACAGGCGGCCGCCCTATGAAGTGACGGAAAGTAGGCTGGCTGACACAAGAGACCGTTGGTGTCAGGAAGACGGATCTCCCTAGGATTCTATCCTCGTACACAGCAGGACTGGGCATTTAATGCCCGCCGTAGGCGGTCCAGGTAAAGTCAAGTGTGCTTAGGCCGCCTGACATGGCATTAAATGCCTCATACCTAGGCTGGCTGACTATAAATACACTGGTATCGGCATTAATGGTAACTCAACTACTCTCTCTCTATCTGAACCTAAACAACATTTTCTTACTTCTCTCTCTAACTTAAGCATCGGAGAGTGTCCGGGGAACCGCCCACGGACCCTTGTTTTGCAGGAATTGGAGTGCGCCCTTCATCTGGAACAGACGTCTTGCTTGCCCTGCACTCAACCGCCTGGAACATTCCAGGCTTAAACAATTTGGCGCCCACCGTGGGGCAGGAAAGACACTGAAGAAAGGATGGACGGGAGCTCCAATACTCCTGTCAAAGACGTGGTCAGAGGAGATGGCTTCCGCAGCCAAGAGATAGCGGCGGGAAGTCTTCGCGGGATGGAAATGCCCGTGGTAGAGGAAGAGATGGAGATGGAGGACCGCGTAAAAAGCCAAGGGCAGCATATATCAAGCATGCAAGAGAGTTTGAGCCAAATCCTGGCCATGCTCAGAGAAAAGGAAGGGGAGGCCCCAGAAAGTTCGGGGAAACGAGCAGCCAAAGGAAAAGGAAGAGAGAAGGAACCCGACAGCCCTGCTCCGACAGAAGGCGGGGAGTCAGACGAAGAGGAAGGAGTAGGAGACGACAGCCTTGGGTTCCTGGAAGAACATCTAAAGCCCACATATGGGGGCGCAAAGACCCACCACATCTTGCAAAACCCGCTGGCCAAAATTCTGTTTAAAACTCAAGTACCACCGAACTTCTCATCACTCGAGCTGCCAACTTACGACGGAAGCTCTGACCCCGTCGACCACCTGAGCGCCTTCATACTGAAGATGCAGCTCATCAATGCCACAGACGCCGATCTGTGCAAAGCGTTCCCAGTCACATTTGGGGGGCATTGCCGAACCTGGTATACCTCCCTTCCCGAGGGAATAATCGAGGATTTTGAACAGTTTGCCACCCTCTTCTCCTCCAAGTTTGCATCCCAGCGAAGGAGGAAGCTAACCGTCTCCGTCCTAATCAACTGCAAGCAGGGCGGAGAAGAGACGCTGACCGATTTCTATGACCGGTGGAACGCCATAGCTTGTGAAGTGCAAGGGATATCGCCAAGCGTAGCAGCGGGGAACTTACGAATGTCCACACACAGCCGCGAATTGCGGAGAGCGCTCATAAAAAAAGAGCATGCACTGAGAGAATGGCCTGATTTGGACCGCTTAGTGCGGAAGGCGATCCTGCTGGAAGAAGCCATGATAATGGAGGATACCGCTAAGCATGTGATGACTCGGTATTTGCACATGTTTTCCCCTTTGTTTATCGATTGTTTGAGCTTGAATTATCGTGTCTTTGGCCTATTTTATGCTAGGTTATGTTCCTTTGTCACATTTCAGGTCCTAGCACATAAAGTGAAGCATAGGCGCAAGTTTCAAATCAATCAGAGATCAATTGACGATTCGGGAGAAGAAACTCGGGCATGACCTGAAGAAGAATGGATTTCTACCTTACTTTATGGACAAATAATCATGCAAGCTTGTTATGAAAAGAAAGAGGACGAGACTACGAGCGTCTGGGATCAAACGGGGACTGATTCGGAGTCCGGACGAGGGAGAAACGAAGCACTAAATAGAGGCTGAGCAAGCCACACGGGCACGACCCACACGGCCGTGTGAACTGGCCATATGGCCGTGTGGAAATCACCGAGGGCTCACACGGGAAGCTGGGAAAGCCACACGGCCGTGTGGCCTGGCCGTGTGAGTCGGGAATTGCTGTTTAAAACCCGATTTTCAGCAAAAGGAAAGAGGGAGAGCTGGGTTTTGGATCCCAAACACCCAAGGGACGAACCCTAGAGAGAGAGCGACTTGGGAACATTCTTGGAGCTATTTTGGAGGATTTCTTCGCCATTGGAGCTCGGGAATCAAGCTTGGAGATGGAGATTGAAGATCTAGATCAGATTTCTGCAGTCTCTCTCTTCTCTATGGAGTAACTTCCCTTCACTTAGGTTTTGAGGAACCTTAGTTCCATGAGTTAGGATCTTTCTTGTATGAAGTTTTGGATGCTTTATTGTTTGATTATAAACGAATGATGCATGTTTATTGAGTCAATTGAAGTCTGATCAACTTTTCCTGATTCCTGCTGCAATCTGAGATAGATAGAATCTGATTAGGTTGCTAGAGTCTCATCATTCGGTAGTAGGAGATTGGCTATACGAGAGTTAGCCAGTTTACTGCTTTGTACTGGAATCCAATTCCAGTAGTGGAGTTCTGTGCTTATTGCTTCAGCTTTCTATCCCGGTGAAGACTAGTCGTCTGCCGGATAGTTAGACTGAGAGGGCTTGGTCAGCTTAAGAGATTCCAAGCTACTGTCGGATCTTCCGCAGTTTAATCAACAGTAAATCAACCAAAAGGAATTACAACTTGGACCTAATTGAGGAGCTAGGGGGAATCATACCTAAGTGAGTTCCCAAACTGTAATTAGTAGTTTTACTTAGTTTAGTTAGTAGAGTAGTTTGGTTAATCAATCCTTAATCTAGTTTGCTAGATAATGAACTGAAGCTGAGTAATAGTAACTCTAGAGACCCGTGGATTCGATATTTATTACTTGTGCCACTATACTGCAGTCTCTTTCATTGGTTACACTTGGCCATTGTTAGGTGTTGTGTTTTAGAGCATCAAGTTTTTGGCGCCGTTGCCGGGGACTTTCTAGAGTATTAGGAAAGGCAGAAGTTTGTTACTTTAGCGTTTTTCTTTTCTTTTCCACCCTTGCTTTTCACTTGGGTGTTTTTTGTTTTTGTTGGTGCAGATCTGAATCATGGATCCGCATGGCTTCTCCAACCAGTGGGGGTATCCACCACCATCCGAGTGGTATTACCCCGAGACTCCCTGGAGCAATCAAGGAGGAGAAGACTATGGATTCGGGTTCCAGTACCAACCCCCTTTCTACGGAGAACAACCAGACCCCTGGGCATATCAAGAACAATCTCCTTATCAAGAAGAATTCCTCCCACAACAAGAAGGGCCATCAGATCTTGAGTTACCCATGGCGGCCTTCACGGGCCACTCTGCAGAGCCATGCTACACTTCACTGGAAGATCCGAACAAACAATTAAGGCTTCTCGTGGAGCAGTTTGCTCGAGACACTGAGAAATCATGCTCCAAGATGGATCTTCAAATCAAAGCCCTTGCCACTTCCGATCCCTCATTTCTCCATGATATGGAGGAGACTGTTCAGCGCTCAGCGAAGCAAACAGAGTGGGTGAAGCAAGTTTGCTCGCATCTTGCCCAAGATCACCTTTCTGCTACCACGCTAGAAGAGGTGGAGGATGACAAAGGCTATGGGAGCGTTGAGGAGCATACAGAAGTTATCACAGAGAACTCTTATGATAATCATGATCAGGAAAGTCCTTTGGTTGCAGACCACACCTTTCCTCATTTATGCTCTAACATGCTGGGCCCGTGCGAGGAGATGCAAGATGATCCCATTGAAGAAATTGCTTGGAGACTTGCTCTCCAATCTGTTCTAGAAGAAGAAGAGCGAGCAAGGATGAGGAAGGAAGTTGTGGATGATAAGGAAGAAAGAAAAAAAGAGGTGGTTCTTGATCTTTTCCCAGGGGAGACACCACATTTTGAAGAAGAAAGGGGGGTTGAGGAAGCAATTGGCGTCCAGGCTGAGGATGAAGTTGAGGTGGAAGAGGCTTGCACCGGCCCTATGTTACATTTGATATCTCCACCAAACTTCGAGGAGCTGCTTGGCAAGGACCCATTTGCAGTGTCTTTTTGCCAGGCCAAGGCCACATCAACATCGGTCCCTCTTGGTGGACGCGATGGTGGCCAATCGATGCTGTCATATCTGGTTTGGGGCAATGAGACGAGAGAAGAGAAGAAGAGGTCTCGAGGGTGGAGACTTCATCTGCATCAAGTACATGAGCCTTCATCACCTACCACACCACATGCTCGTGACTTGAGACTCCACCTCATCGACGAGAACCTCAACTTCAAGGAGGTTCTAGCATGGACCGAAACTTAGGAGCCATCGTCCGGCTCACGACGTGAAAGAAGCGCTTGTTGGGAGGCAACCCAACCAGTCGGTTTGCATTTCTTTCTCTATTTCTCCTCGGTTGAGTCAGTTTTGTTATTTGATTTTAGAGTCAATAACTCAACCTTTGTGAAATTTTGTGTGGTGTTTGTGTTCTGATTACTCTCTCTTCCTGGAATGCACTGCCTGACCCGTACATCATCATTCACCCTTGATCTGGTAACTTCGTTCTACCCTCCTTATCTTTCCTCCATTGAGGACAATGTCGTGCTTAAGTGTGGGGGGGGGGGTGTTCGATTATGTATGCGGGTGAATGTTTGGCTGTTTGTGTGCTTGAAGCCTAGTCCACTGTCCAAATTTTTAAATTTGAGGGCTCCAAGTACGTGTTTCCTTGCAAATTGCCTGCTCAGTATGCTTTGAATTGACAGTCTCTATAGTAATGTGCAACCTAGGGAGGTAGTGTAGCACTATGGAGGATGTTGAAGTATAAGATTTTTCCTATCTAGCTCTCTGTTGTGCCAGTTGATTTTGTGAATTAGTGGAGCTAAGACCGTTGAATTCAGGTGGTAATGGTGACTCTGTTTGGATTATGTTATGGACTCGTGTATCGAACAGGGTGCTCATATGGAAAAT